ATGATTCACTCGGTCAAATGCCTTAGACGCATCTAAGAAACACATAAAAACAGTTGAGTTTTTGCTCCTATAGTTGTTTAAAAGTTCCTTTAGGACATAAATACACAGATCCGTAGAATGTTTTGGTTTAAAACCGAACTGATTATCTGTAGAAGTAATCAGTTCATTTATCCTCTCTAGGAGAATTAGTTCCACAACTTTGGATAAAATATTAGCTAAAGCTATAGGTCTATAGTTATCAGAGGAGCCCACTTTTCCTGCTTTATCTTTAATTACAGGAGTCAGTGTCACAGACATCATTAAATCTGGGAGATAGCCATGGATCATAAAGGCACTGAAACAGAGTGCTAGTAACATACACAGCTTTGGGCTTGCATGTTTGAGATGTTCAGCAGAGACAGAGTCTGGGCCAGTTGATTTATTAGCTGCCAGGTTAGAAATGGCTTTAGAAACCTCATTGTATGTGATTTCCTCAATAAAATCAACACTGTCTGCTTCAAAGCGTTTGGTCTGGACACAATTAAACAGTTTACAATAATGCTTACGCCAGAGCTCAGCAATTGCATTTGCACCAGAGACTCCATCTACTGAACATGGCAGTGAAGGTTTGCAATTATTTGTACGTTTCACTTCTTTCCAAAAATCATTGTTTGTGTTATCTAAAAGTCTGTTGGCCATAGACTCTGCCCTCAGACGCTGCTCATTCTTACATATGAAACGTATTGCATATTTACATTTGGCATTTGTGCTCTTCTTATGTTCAAAAATGGGCCCTTGTCTTGGCTTTCCAGCTATAGCCCATGATCTAGTGGCTTCACGAGCCTCAGCATAGAATTCAGCCACATAATCATTCCACCCAGGCAGAGTTTTTCCTCTCTTCTTATGCTTAAGGAAAGGCTTACTAGCTTCAAGTAAAGCAGAGACAATTGCGCTATACAAAGTAGAGATATCAGTGCTATGTTCACGCTTTGAACAATTACCATCTTTGCACAGGAGGGCTTCTTTAGGGTGTATACATTACTCAATAATTGATCAGTGTAATCATAGTAAAATGACAATTCTTCACATGTCAAAGAGGACCAATCTAAGAAGCCCTGTTTTGGATTATTATTACATTTTATAGTTGAAGGTATGCTGTCAAACTTGATCACCATTTTAACAGGAATGTGATCAACAGTGGAGAAGTCATATAAAATTTCCATATGTGCCAAGGATGCGTGGGCATCTGATGTAGAGAGGCAATGGTCTAGCCAGGATGTGGTATGCCAGGCCTCACTTATATGGGTATAACTATCAACAGGCAGGAGCTCTCTGCTGGACAATATTAGATTATTATCAGAACACAAATGATTAAGATGTTTAGCAAATGCTGACCTGTTGTCTGAGATATCGGCATTCATATCACCAATAATAAAAACATTTGAAAAACATTCGTTTTGTACATAAGAACTAATGAATGCAAGCTTATTTACATAATCTTCTTCATTTTGATGGCATTCATATGGAGTGTAAATATTTAAAATGACACATTCCTTATCATCACGTATCAGGCGTACAGCAATGCACCAGTCCACTCCAAGCCTGACTACATTTATCGCATCAGAGGGCCAAAAAAACAAATTTGCTGCGAGCCGAGGGCCGGACTGGTTCAATATTTATTAACTCATTGCCTGCCAGCCTATTTCAGAACAGGTACTCCCATATTGCCAGCAGTTTCCGATGATTTTTATAGATTTTTCAAGACCCACAGAATATTGTGTACGATGACTATCTGAAATCCGAAACCAGATTCTGAAAGAATAGACTCTACTTTCATCAGCAAAAATAATTTTGTTTCTAGCTTGTAATCCCCAGTTGAGTAGAGGGAAGTTTTACTAAAATCACCAAAAAGCTGAGAAAAAAAGACGTACAACAAGTGCATCTAGCTGTTTTCAAACCATTCAGAGAGCGCTGCTGCCACCTGCTGGCTCGATTCAATATGCTCTCAAGCTTATCCCCAAACATATTAGATATAATAGACATCTGGGAACATGAAAATAGCGGAAAACGCAATTGACGTAATAGTGCGCCAATGGCAGGCAACAGGCCATGTAAAATTCATTCACGGGCCGGATTTGGCCCGCGGGCCTTGACTTTGACACATGTGCTGTAGGGCAATCCATCCTCTGCATTTGACCCTGATGCCACTAAGGCTTACATCAGGAGCAGTGGTCACCGTAGTAACAGCGCCCGGGAACCCATCTCCAGATGTTGATTTTCGACTTGGTCAGGACTACCGGAGCTGGAGGATTTAACCTAGTGTGCATGTTTTTAGTGGTAGGGGAAACCGGAGTACCCGGAGGAAATCTACGAAAGCACGGGGAGAACATGCAAACTCCACTCAGAAAAACCCCATTCCGACTGGGATTCGAACCCAGGACCTTCTTGCTGAGAGGCGAGAATGCTATCCACTTAGCCACCGTGCCCTTTAGGGTCCTTTAATGATGACAGATTAGGGCCTTTTAATGATGACAGATACCGAGATACCGTGGTATACCGAGATACCGTGGTATACCGAGATACCGTGGTATACCGAGATACCGTGGTATACCGAGATACCGTGGTATACCGAGATACTGTGGTATACTGAGGTATACTGTGGTATACTGAGGTATACTGTGGTATACTGAGGTATACTGTGGTATACTGAGATATACTGAGGTATACTGAGATATACTGAGGTATACTGAGATATACTGAGGTATACTGAGATACTGTGGTATACTGAGATACTGTGGTATACTGAGATACTATGGAATACTGAGATACCGTGGTATACTGAGATACCGTGGTATACTGAGATACTATGGTATACTGAGATACTGTGGTATACTGAGATACTGTGATATACTGAGATACAGTGATATACTGAGATACAGTGGTATACTGAGATACTGTGGTATACTGAGATACTGTGGTATACTGAGATACTGTGGTATACTGAGATACTGTGGTATACTGAGATACTGTGGTATACTGAGATACTGTGGTATACTGAGATACTGTGGTATACTGAGATACAGTGGTATACTGAGATACTGTGGTATACTGAGATACTGTGGTATACTGAGATACAGTGGTATACTGAGATACAGTGGTATACTGAGATACTGTGGTATACTGAGATACAGTGGTATACTGAGATACTATGGGTTAAAACATGTCGCAGGATGAAATTTGATGCAGTAATAATTTGAAATAACAAAGAAATATTATGCGTTGTTTTGTAGAATGTGGAAAATATGGAGAAACAAGTATCAAGGGTGAATAATTCTATCGTCCTATAACTCCCCATGCTGCCACTAGAGGGAGGTAGAGTTTTATTTGTGGTTTATTTTTTCAAATTTGAAAATGACCAGCTTCAACCACAGACAAAAAAGGTGATCTAAAGTTGAGACAGATAAATTCATTCATATGAAAACTAGTGATAGAACAAAACTGTTTAGAGAAAGTTGTGATTAGGTACCCCAGCTTTAAATGTCGCAGCTAATGCTAACATATTCCACGCTTCTCTCATAATAATTCATAATACTCACATTATTACATGGAAAGGCGTGAATAATCACAGTACATTAGAACAAAAAATACATTATTAACAGTGTTAATAATGTTGATTATTAACATTATTGAAGTGGACAGAGAAGAGGCCGTTTCATCATTTGCTGCAGTGTTTTATTGAATCAGATTTGTGTGAAGACGTCCGTGTGAATCCAAAGTGTTGACGCGTCTGCTCCTCTGTACTTTAGCAGGGAATAAAGATTTAACTGATAAAATTACACTTTGAAGTGGACATTTTGTAATAAAATGGATAATATGGCACTAGTTGTTATAGAAATGTGGAATTTGTTTTGACTTATTTGGTGGAATGAAGATTGTGAAGAAAATGTATGGATGTAAACTCGAAGCAGAGATTTTAGTTTAGTTGTCGTCAAAGTGAAGCTTGTAAGTAATAGTTTATAATAATAGAGTGATGACTTAAAGGTGCAGTTTGTTATGTGTCTTTTTGTATGTTTATATATATTTAATACAAACTCATTATGAAAGTTATTTTTGTATCTGTTTTTTTTTTAAAAAAAAAACCTACTTGTTAGTTTTGGTAGATGACCGTGTCTTGGTAAGTTTTCAGTGGTCCCATATTTTTCCTATTTCCTAATAATAGATTGAACGATGCTCTGTTCTTTGTTCTCTAAAGAAGTCGTCCTGAAGGATGCCTCTACCACAGGCGCCTCGGGACAAAAGGCTTAAAACGCTCTGTTTTACCAACCGGTTAAAAACACATAAACGGGACTCGTTCCTCATGGTGGAGCAGGGTGTCAAGGTCAAGGTCTGGGGGCCAGAGAAAATTTGTTTTATTGTCTCTGAAGTATTTGGCTTTGTCATCCCTGCTATAGAGCAAGTAAGGGAGTGTCGTTTCCACGTTCTGTGTTTTATCTGAACGACTTGTGAGATTTCATAACACTTTTAAGCAACTTTTGTTAAAGTTAAACTCATCATTCTATGCAGAAGGCTGTACTTTTCCACTACTTGTTTTGACTATCTCTGCTGGCACTGTGGCAGCTGCTGATTGGAGGTCTCTGTTTCTCCTGAGTATATTACAACTTGCTGTCGTAACATCCCTTGTTCGTGTTGTTGTCTCTACCATTGACAATAAAACATGTCTTCTGTCTGAATGAAAGACACGATCCCATCTTCTTCAGACTGTTGCAAATCAAAGAGAATGTTGTTCCTAGAAATCAGCAATGAGCATTTGGGCAAAGTTCACCTGGAGTTAGAGAGAGTTAGAAAGGGTTATAAACATAAGCTCCTCATGTAGTACCAGGAGCCCCCCCCCCCCCCCCCCCTCCTGTACAACCACCGGCTCTCAGTCCTCTCTGCACCCCCTCCCCCCATGCTTCTCTGCGACCGCCCCTTCCACTCCCCTCTCTGCCCCCCCCCCCCCCCCCCCCCACATCATTATCGAAATGCATTTGTTTCCTTTGAGGACCCTGAGGCATGAGGAGATTCTAACACAGCAGCTAGATCGGGGGAGGTGTCCAGAGCGAGAGGGAGGTGTCCAGAGCCAGAGGGTGGGGTCCGGAGCCAGAGGGAGGTGTCCAGAGCCAGAGGGTGGGGTCCGGAGCCAGAGGGAGGTGTCCAGAGCCAGAGGGTGGGGTCCGGAGCCAGAGGGAGGGGTCCAGAGCCAGAGGGAGGGGTCCGGAGCCAGAGGGAGGTGTCCAGAGCCAGAGCCAGAGGGAGGGGTCCGGAGCCAGAGGGAGGTGTCCAGAGCCAGAGCCAGAGGGAGGGGTCCGGAGCCAGCAGGAGTCACTCAGACTATGCAGTTTTAACACAGAGCTGTGTGTGGGCAAAGAACGGTTCAATATTAAAATATCAGTTGTTTGTGAGAAGCAAGAGTGCTGTACACGCTGTACTGTACAACATGTTATTACACACACACGTGAATACACACACATGTTATTACACACACATGTCATTACACACACACATGTTAATACACACACACATGTTATTACACACACATGTCATTACACATACATGTTATTACACACACATGTTAGTACACACACATGTCATTACACACACATGTTATTACACACACATGTCATTACACACACACATGTTATTACACACACATGTCATTACACACACATGTTATTACACACACATGTTAGTACACACACATGCCATTACACACACATTTTATTACACATGTCATTACACACACATGTCATTACACACACATGTTATTACACACACATGTTATTACACACATGTTATTACACACATGTTATTACACACACATGTTATTACACACACATGTCGTTACACACGCACATGTTATTACACACAAGTTATTACACACACATGTCAAAACACACATGTTATTACACACACATGTCATTACACACACACACATGTCAAAACACACATGTTATTACACACACATGTTATTACACACACATGTTATTACACACACATGTTATTACACACACATGTTATAACACACACACGTCGTTACACACACATGTTATTACACACAAGTTATTACACACACATGTCAAAATACACGTGTCATTACACACACGTTATTACACACACATGGTATTACACACACACACATGTCAAAACACACATGTTATTACACACACATGCTATTACACACACATGTTATTACACACACATGTTTTTACACACACATGTCATTACACACACATGGCAAGGCAAGTTTATTTGTATAGCACAATTCATACACAAGGCAACTCAAAGTGCTGAACAAAACAATAAAATCATAAATAATCACAGAACATTAAAAAGAAAGATAAAAATATAAAATCCCTCAGTTGTAGCACAGCTAAACAGGACTGTTTTTAACCTGGTTTCGCATCTTCAGGAAGACTGTTCCAGATTTTAGCAGCATGAATCTGAAAAGCAGCCTCCCCATGTTTAGTTCTGACTCTGGGCACTAACAGGAGTCCAGTCCCTGTGCTCCTCAGAATCCCAGCAGGAGTCCAGTCCCTGTGCTCCTCAGAGTCCCAGCAGGAGTCCAGTCCCTGTGCTCCTCAGAGTCCCAGCAGGAGTCCAGTCCCTGTGCTCCTCAGAGTCCCAGCAGGAGTCCAGTCCCTGTGCTCCTCAGAGTCCCAGCAGGAGTCCAGTCCCTGTGCTCCTCAGAGTCCCAGCAGGAGTCCAGTCCCTGTGCTCCTCAGAGTCCCAGCAGGAGTCCAGTCCCTGTGCTCCTTAGAGTCCGGGCTGGTTCATATGGGACTAACATGTCACTAATATATTTTGGTGCGAGGCCATGGAGAGACTTGTAACAAGCAGAGCTGTTTTAAAGTCTATTCTCTGAGCCACAGGAAGCCAGTGCAGAGACCTGAGGACTGGACTAATGTGGTCGTACTAGCTGTTTGGACAGACCTGTGAGCAGCCATAACAGTAGTCTAACCTACTGGAGACAAATGCATGGATAAGAATCTCCAAGTCTGCTTTAGACACTATGTTTTTGATCCTGGCAATGTTTTTTCGATGGTAAAAAGCTGCTGATGTTACTGATTTGATGTGGCTATTAAAATTGAAGTCTGAGTCCAGTATTACCCCTAGATTTCTGACCTTGTTTGAAGGTTTTAGGGAGAGAGACTGTAGGTGACAGATGACGCTCTCTCTTTGTTTCTGGGGACCAAAGACAATCATTTCAGTTTTGTCTGCGTTTAGCTGAAGGAAGTTGTTTTGCATCCACTCACTGATCTGTTGGATACAGTGAAGGAGTGAGTCCACTGGTCCATGTTCTCCTGCAGTCAGTGAGACATAGATCTGAGTGTCGTCTGCATAGTTATGATAGGAAACTTTGTTTCTGCGTATTAACTGACCTAACGGCAGCATGTAGAGATTGAACAGAAGAGGTCCCAGGATTGACCCCTGTGGGACTCCACAGGTCAGGGCCATATGATCTGAGACACAGTTTCCAATCTCCACAAAGTACTTCCTGTCTTCAAGGTAAGACCTAAACCAACTTAGGGCGGTGCCAGCGACGCCAACCCAGTCCTCTAATCTCTGTAAGAGGATCTCATGGTCGACGTGTCAAAGGCAGCACTCAGATCTAACAAGATTAAGATTGAGACTTGGCCTGCGTCAGTGTTCAGCCGGATATCGTTTTTAACCTTGACGAGAGCAGTCTCAGTGCTGTGGTGGGGTCTAAAGCCGGACTGAAACATATCAAATGAGTTGTTGATTATAAGAAATCTAGTAAGCTGTAGGTAGACAACTTTTTCAAGGACTTTCCCCATAAATGGCAGATTTGAGATGGGACGATATTTGTTAAGTACCGTAGCATCCAGACTGCTCTTTTTTAGCAGGGGCCTGATGACTGCAGTTTTCAGGGCCTTTGGGAATATTCCAAGGGACATGTTTACTATCTGTGTGAGTGAAGGTAACAGACTGCTCAGAACAGACTTCAGAAATCTAGTGGGTAGTACATCCAGGCTGCATGTGGAGGAGCTCAGACTGGAGATTATCTCTTGGACAGTTTGATCATTTACAGGTGCAAAGTGAGTTAGCTCAAAGGCTTTCTGGCTGTTGGATTGTTATCTGAGGATTTGAGACAATGGCGTTTTTGATGCCTTGAACCTTGTCATTGAAAAAATGTGCAAACTCATTGCATTTACGTTTGGAAGTAAGCTCTAATGGCATCTGAACAGGGGGGTTTGTTAATCTATTAACTTGTTGTTACTTTAGCCTTCAATCATTTCAGAAAAATACCTTTCTCTCGTACTACGTAGCACCCGGTTAAACTCGCACAACTTATCTTTGAACATCTCGTAATCAACCTGGAGGTTGGACTTGCGCCACTTCCGCTCGGCCCTCCGGCACTTTCTCTTCTGTGCTCTGACCGAGTCTGCTTTAGCCCACGGCGCCTTCTTCTTATTTTTCACTATTTTAACCTTCACAGGGGCAACGGTATCCAGAACATTCAAAACACTAGAGGTGAAAGAGTTAAACAGTTCATCTACAGTAGAATACGAAGCATTCTCAAAGTTTATCATTCCCATAAATAGATCACTCGTATTTTCATTTATGAGCCTTCTTCGAACAACTGCAGAGTGCACTGGTGGTTTGTTAGTGAAACACATGTCAATAAATACACAGAAATGAAAGAACAACATTGACCACGATTACATTTGAAATATTCACCCCCTTAGTGACTAACAGGTCTAGAGTGTGCCCTCTGCTGTGGGTGGGGCCACTCACGTGCTGAGTGAGACCAAAAGATTCAAGAACAGAACTCAGCTCTTTTGCATTTCTGTCATTAACATTATCCACATGAATATTAAAATCACCTGTAATAACTAAACTATCAAAGTCTGTGCATACAACTGAAAGCAGCTCGGTAAAATTATCAATAAAACTGTGACATGACTGCGGTGGCTTTTATAGGACAATGAAGAGTATTGGAGGAGATTGTTTTTGTTGTATTTTAAAAGACACATATTCAAAAGACGGAAACTTCCCAAGAGACATTCTATGGGAGACAAAGTGGTCTCTAAAAATGGCAGCTAAGCCTCCTCCCTTTTTTGTTTTCCCGTATTTCAGATTCAAATTTGAAATTTGATGGCTACAGTGGGTGTGAAAGGAATAGTCTTCATCGCCGATCTTATCATGCCTGCAGAGTGCTCCGGTAATTCCAATAGTGATGGAAAACACAGGGAAAGGTCGTCCTCATGTTCCTTAGATGGAGTGGATGTGGCAGGGGGGACCCAAACCGGGTCCATGGAAGGTGATGAGGGAGTCTTTGGTGGAGATGGAGGTGGTTGAGAGGCCCCCAGTGCAGGCCTGTCTGTAGCCTGGAGCAATGGGGGGGGCTTCACGGGAGCTGTAGGTGGGGAAGGTGCTGCTGAAGATGATGCAGCAGCCACAGCTGGTGCTGGTGGTGCTGATGCTGATGGCGCTGATGACGCTGTGGCAGCCACTGTTGCTGCTGGTGCTGTATCCGCTGCTGATGATGATGCTGGTGGACGTGTTGAGTTCTTTTGAGGCGGTGGAGGTGCCGAGACCTCTGGGTTCCGTGGAGAGGGTCGTGTCCTTTGCTTCTTCCTCTCTTTCAACGGCTGAACGCGCTGCACAGACTCAGGTCTTAAGGCAGATGCAAAATTATCCATCAACACTTTTACTCCGTATTTGTTCAGATGTGGGCCTTTCCCTTCAAAAAGCTCGAGCCTATCCCAGAACAGATTAAAGTTTTCAATGAATCCAAGTCTTCTGCGTGAACACTCATTGTGTAGAAATGTATTTAACTGTTACAGACGGCTAAACTTCTCGATTTTTCCATCTGCATTTGGAATGGGTCCACTGATTAACATGTTTAACTCCATTTTTTTAAGGTCATCCAGCAGAAAAATCTCTTCTCAACTTCTCGGTGGATTTATCATGAATGTCTACTGCCCCTGTGTGTATCAACAATGTACTTACACCTCGGGTTTGATATAACACTATTGGCACCAGAGTTCTTATCTCAGACACTTTGGCCGAGTGCACCAAATAAGTGTGTACAAAGTTCAAAGATACATTCAAAGAGTCTCCAAGCAGCAAACACCGTGGCCTTGACGGAGGGGGAGAAACAGACGGTGGCTTTGCTTCTTCAAACAGAGCAGCATAACGATTTGAAGTCTTCAAAACATTTTGTGGCAGAATTCCCCTCCCATTGTCATTCTTAGCTTTGTCAACTTTGGGTTTAGCGCCACATTTATTCCAATAGTTCTCTTTGTTGATTTTGGGAAAAGTAATTACGTTACATTTCCAGTCTGTCCATTCATCCCATTTTCACACATTGGAACAGTCGGGTTAAGTCCCATTTCTGTTTCCAAAATATCTATCCGTTTTTGAAGAGATTTGAGCTGATTTTCCAGAGAGCAGCAGCCATCGCAGACATTTTTCAGTTTTTTCCGTCCAGACATGACTAATGTTGACAAATTCCACAAAGCTGAAGTCTGCAGAATGAGTAATCCGTGTTTTGTAGAATAAAAATGTAAATAAAACGATTAAAAGAGATTACAAAGCGAAGCAAGCAGCGTAGCAGCAAGGAACACGTCTTCACACTCCAAGCAGGAAGCATGTTATTACACACACACATGTTATTACACACACATGTCATTACACACACATGTTATTACACACACATGTTATTACACACACATGTTATTACACACACATGTTAAGTAAGTAAGTAAGTAATCTTTATTTATATACTGCCTTTCACAGACCAGAGTCATGAAGCGGTTTACAATTGTTATTTTTGGGCATTAGTCTCTGACTCCACACAGAGATGGGAGGGGCCAGTACAGGAGGCACAGACCTATTGTACATGTTTTTAGTGGTAAGGAAACCAGAGCACCTGGAGGAAACCTACGAAGACACGGGGAGAACATGCAAATTCCACTCAGAAAGGCCCTGTCCGACCGGAATTCGAACCCAGGACCTTCTTGCTGGGTTCGAATCCCAAATAACACACATTACACACACATGTCATTACACACACACGTTATTACACACACATGTCATTACACACACGTTATTACACACACATGTTATTACACACACGTTATTACACACACATGTCATTACACACACGTTATTACCCACACACGTTATTACACACACATGTCATTACACACACCAGTTATTACACACACGTCATTACACACACGTTATTACACACACACGTTATTACACACACATGTCATTACACACACGTTATTACACACACATGTTATTACACACACGTTATTACACACACATGTCATTACACACACGTTATTACCCACACACGTTATTACACACACATGTCATTACACACACCAGTTATTACACACACATGTCATTACACACACGTTATTACACACACACGTTATTACACACACATGTCATTACACACACGTTATTACACACACATGTTATTACACACACGTTATTACACACACATGTCATTACACACACGTTATTACCCACACACGTTATTACACACACATGTCATTACACACACCAGTTATTACACACACATGTCATTACACACACATTATTCACACACACATTATTACACACACATGTCATTACACACACACGTTATTACACACACATGTTATTACACACACATTATTACACACACATGTCATTACACACACACGTTATTACACACACATTTAATTACACACACGTTATCACACACACACATTATTACACACACACATGTCGTTGAACACACGTGTCATTACACACTGTTCGGCACGGTGGCTGAGTGGTTAGCACTCTCGCTTCTCAGCAAAAAGGTTGTGGGTTTGAATCCCGGTCAGATCAAGCAAACAAACAAAATTCATTATTTAAGGAGAAATACAGTTTGGGTTAGGGATTGTTTTAAAAACATATCTGCTCAAACACATGCTTACATTTGCTTGTTCTTGTCGTCCTCAGGCTGCACCATGTCCTCTCCCACTGAGGACGTCTCCGGCTTCCACCTCAGCGGTAAAAACACTATCACTTTATTTTTCCTTCTTTGGGAACTTTTCTGTCTCACTTCATGTTAGAGCGACTTTTATGTGAAACTTTCCTTTTACTTTGAGCCGTTCCTTAAGTGCTCAGCACTGAGCACCTCCCAGAAGAGAATCATACTATATTCTGAAGACAAACTATGTTTTATATATAAATACATAAATGCACATTTAGGGGTGTTTAGATGATAGCTGAAAACCTGGAGAAACGTGCTCGAGGACGTCCAGGTGATGTCACACAGTTTTATCAGGAACTGTGCCGTAGAAAACCACTGTATGCATTGTGCACATGAACACAGAAAGTGCTGGAGAAAAACACTTGTTTGAATGTGTGCTTCAGTGGTGCGTAACCCGCCGGGATGGGAGGTGGCCATCTACCTGCTGGGCTTCTTGGTGCTGCTGGGAGCAGCTGGACTCAACATCTGGAAGCTCTGGAAGTCCGGATCGTTCCCGGCTCCTTCCCCTTTCCCCAACTTCGACTATCGATATTTGCAGGAGAAATACGGGACCTCGTTCTCTGAAGTCAGACAGAAGGTACTGAAATAGATGAAATAGACTTTATAAAGAGATATCATGCAGGGTTAGTGTTATTTCACTATTATATACTGAGATACATATAGTAAGATATAATTGTTTCACTGTTATATACTGAGATGATTACAGTAAGATAGAATTGTTTCACTATTATATACTAAAATAATTATAGTATAGACAGAATTGTTTCATGTTTTTTCCGCCACTCCTCCGACCTGGTTTAGTGACTACAGTGTTTTTCAACCATAATATATGAAGAGTTTGGTTCCAAAACAAGATAAACGGCATTTTTAAAAAAACATGTATTTGTTCGCTGTGGATAACCTCATATTCAGTTTTCTGCAAAACGCAGTATCCAGAGTTTTATTCAGTCCGTCTTTCTCCCATTCTTTCCAAACAGCGATAAATGCCAATCCACCTTTTCCGCAGAACGCTACAAATCCACTCAACCAATCACAGCGTAGCATCCTACGTGGTGTAAACAACAGTGGCGGCGCCCTGGGGCTGGCATCCTGCTAAATAAAACGGGCTGTATCTATAAATGTGGTGCAGAATCTTTTCATACTCTTCACCAGGACCAGGAGTTATTTATGATAAATACATAAAAGACAGTATTTCTCTTTCCGTTGAAAACATGATTCCGAAGGTTTCTCATTTTCTCCCACTGGGATTTTAGAGTTTTCGTTCAACTAATAATGTCCATGACATTCAACAACATTTAATTAATTTAACATTTAACAATATTCATTTCCTGAGTTTGAACTGTTTGATTCTTTGATCCGCGAGTCGACCACTTTGTCCTGAGAGATGAGACTGCTGGTCCACTGTACAGACTGCCGGTCCACTGTACAGACTGCTGGTCCACTGTACAGACTGCTGGTCCACTGTACAGACTGCTGGTCCACTGTACAGACTGCTGGTCCACTTTAAAGACTGCTGGTCCACTGTACAGACTGCTGGTCCACTTTAAAGACTGCTGGTCCACTGTACAGACTGCTGGTCCACTTTAAAGACTGCTGGTCCACTGTACAGACTGCTGGTCCACTTTAAAGACTGCTGGTCCACTGCACAGACTGCTGGTCCACTTTAAAGACTGCTGGTCCACTGTACAGACTGCAGGTCCACCTTGGAGACTGCTGGACCACTTTAAAGACTGTTGTTGGGACAGAAGTTTATTTGTGTATCACAAAGAACTTGAGTTGAATCTTGTGTTGCAGAGAGTGGCAGCGAACAACCACCGCCGTACGTCCACAGCCGGGAGCCGGAAGCCCAGCCTGGCTCTGGGCGACACCCCAGACGGGTTCAAGGACCTGGGACACCTAGAATTGATGAGCCGAGAGCTGGATCCCATTGGTCTGAACCAGCTGAACCGGTCCATGTCCACGGACTCCCTCTGCTCCATCTCTTCCATTGCACACAACTTTGGACACGACTTCACTGTTGGACAACTGGAGGTGTGTGGGGCTCATAGGAGATGGTTAATGGCTTTAACACATATTCTACAAAACATCATTAACAGACCTCGAGTTGTCCACTCTAATACTTTTGGCCCAAACATGTAGCTCCGCTACTCTCTCAGTCCTGTAACGGGATGATGTCATTGGACCGCTGCACAGTGGCTGAGTGGTTAGCACTCTCGCCTCTCAGTGAGAAGGTCCTACGTTCAAATCCTGGCCGGAACGGGGTCTTTCTGAGTGGAGTTTACATATTCTCCCCGTGTCTGTGTAGGTTTCCTCCGGGTGCTCCGGTTTCCCCTAGCACTAAAAACATGTACAGTAGTCCTGAATGTAATGAGTGAATGGATGGTGTTTGGTCGGAGGCTTTGATGGACCAGTGTGTTCAGGTTCAGGTGTGGAGAGAATGGAATTATATCTAAACTCTGAACATTGTAAAGCGCTTTGGGAGACATTGGTCTGTTTAAATGTGCTAAATCAATCAATCAACTTTTATTTGATTGATTGAACAGTTCTTTTATTCTTCTCACAGTGGGGAAATTCCAATGTTGCATTGCACAGACAGGACAGTAGTCAGAGCACACAGAACATACAATATAAGCTGTTTCAAGATCAGTCTATTGATAGTGTAAAATGATATCGATTTAGGGCAGGACTATGAGTAGATAAAGTGTTGTGTCCACAGGTGACTCTGGAGCTGGAGGGGAGCAGGCAGACAGGGTCCCAGGGCATGGGCTTCCTCCACATCACTTTGCACCAGGGGAAGGACCTCCTGGAGCGAGAGGAGGGCCACTTCCCCGGCTGCTTCATCCGAGTGTCTCTGGGACCAGACGAGATCAACGTGGGCGTCACACGGGTGAGAGCAGCACTCACTTCGCTTCGCTGTATTTAGGAAATGTTTTGGACCAGTTTTGATGCAGATATTTTAAAATGTTACCTAATTTTAGAGCAGACTTTTCCATATTAATAATTCATGTTGTTTGTCCAAACAAACAGAGAAAAACAGTGTCTTCATCAATGTTCTCTCTACACTGCAAAATGTGATGAAAAATAAGTTTAAGACTCTTCCAATGGGACAAAACAAAATTATCTTTTTTTTAAAAAGATACAGAAATGTCTCCCTTGGAATGAGAACAAAAATGTGTTAAAGCTGCATTACCTCACTTTATTTTTGTATTCATTATGAAAATTCAATCGATTCATTGGGATATACGTCTTTTTGAAGAAAAAGTAGCGCAGGTTTGAGCTGGCGTGACATTTAATTTTAGATCGAGTTTTTGAGCAACAGGGAAGAGAATGTGTTTCGGATCCAGATTGTGACCAATCACAGCGGACCACTGGCCCCCACTTTCTTGAGAAAAGCCACAGGTCTGTGGTTAGCACAGACAGCTGAGGTAAACAAGCGGCGGAGGCTAACCTGAAACTTCTGTGTCTTTGTTACCGGTTACTGCTTACTCAGAGAAACAGCCAAAAGAAAGTCTCTGTCATGAGGTGGAAATGCAGGAAGGACTCAAACGCAGGAATGCAAAAATAATGATTTAATAAAATGAAGTCCAAACAGACAATCAAGACGGGGGAAAACAGGACAGGAAGTCAAACTAAAACCAAAGCACAAACCCAAAGTCCAAAATAACAAAATCCACACCATGACAGTCTCGTTCCTCCGCGCTTCACGGTTTTATAATTCTATGGTCACGCCATCCACGTTCAAATGTGCGATCCATATTGTGAGACGCTAGCTCCGTAAACACAGGCTGAGTGGGACGGGGGTACGTGAGAGCGGGGAGGGCGAGCAGAAGAGCGAGGCCAGCGCTCACATTCACAAGTTTTACAAAGTGAGTTAGTGCAGCTTTATTGTTTTAAAACAGCCAGAATATTCTCAAATCAGGATAAAAAACACTTGATTTAAGAATTTTTGACCTCATATTTGTATCATTTGTTGTTGATACAACAAATTAGCTTCATATAAATAGACAATATAATGTCTCTGATCCCAGTTTTCAGTCGTGTGTGTTTCCATTAATATGTGTCTCAGGAGTTGTCTATGATGTTCTTTATTTCCTGCTGTACTTTGAAAATCTATGTTTGTCTCAACATCAAAGTCCCTGAAGTACAACTCTGTTCATCTCCACTGAATCACAAACACTGCTGCTCTAGTTATTTCTGTCCACATTAGTCTGAGTCATGGATGTGGAGGAGAAAGTGTGAAGTGTTGTGTTGAGAATATTTATGTTTGAGTGAGTGATGCTCAGTGAGAATGATCTATCTATCTATCTATCTATCTATCTATCTATCTATCTATCTATCTATCTATCTATCTATCTATCTATCTATCTATCTATCTATCTATCTATCTATCTATCTATCTATCTATCTATCTATCTGTCTATCTGTCTGTCTGTCTGTCTGTCTGTCTGTCTGTCTGTCTATCTATGTATCTATCTATCTATCTATCTATCTGTCTGTCTGTCTGTCTGTCTGTCTGTCTGTCTGTCTGTCTGTCTGTCTGTCTGTCTGTCTGTCTGTTTTTTATTTGTTAAAAAAGTTTAAATTATCCAATAAATTTTGTTCCACTTCACGATTGTGTCCCACTTGTTGTTGATTCATGACAAAAAATTAAAATTTTATATCTTTATGTTTGAAGCCTGAAATGTGGCGAAATGTTGAAAGGTTCAAGGGGGCCGAATACTTTTTCAAGGCACTGTAAATCTATCTATCTATCTATGTATCTATCTATCTCTCTATCTATCTATCTATCTATCTATCTCTCTATCTATCTATCTATCTATCTATCTATCTATCTATGTATCTATGTATCTTGTCATGACAGATGGAAATGAAGTTGACCTTTTCTCTTCCATGTCATGTCTGCGTCTGTCCACTGGGGGAGGTCTAGTTCACATTGTTCATATATCATTCCAACAGAATTCCCTTGTTTCTGTGTTTCCTCAGATACAGACGAATGCGTTCACGGTGATCTTTGACGAGAGGTTCTCGGTGCCTCTGGAGCTGTCGCTGTTGGAGGAGTACAGTCTCTGCTTCGCTGCCTTCGGGATCGATGTTGAGGAGAGAAACATCAGCGCTGGAGTCGCAGACCTCAAACTGTCCGACCTGGACCTCACTGTGCGGCCCTTTAACGCATGGCTCTACCTCCAGGACGTCAACAAGGTAGGTTTGGATCATGAGCAGAAACAATACAATCATTATCATTTGGGCTGTGGTTAGAGCTTGTGCTCACAGCACCGGTTTCTCCTATCAGTGAAGTGAATGGAAACATAACAGACCTTGGTCTGTAAAATGTACTATATAAATAAACATTAGCTACTTACTTATATACTACTTATTGCATAATTTACTTAAAGGTATATAGGAGGATTTTCTTCTTCCGGGTGGATCATCTATACTCTTGGTCCTCCTAATTGTCAATCATTCACTCTCTAATTCGGAAGTGACTCGTAACCTGAGCGTGCACGAGGAGAACTGGGTTTTTGGGCATGTCTCCTAATAATTCATATTATATTGAAATCATTCTCACAAAGACTTTTCTGGGGCTGAGACGACCTAACGGTCACACTAGTAATCTGCTCCACCTCCGAAGACGTCAACAGAGTCTGGATTTCACTTGTTTATTCATTTACATGTGTTTTTCATTCAGCAACAAATGTTTTACTGAGAATCATGTCTGTTCTGTTCCATCTTCAGGCCGTTGACACCGTGGGGGAGATCCTTCTCTCTCTCAGTTACCTCCCGACAGCAGAGCGCCTCACGGTGGTCGTCGCCAAATGCAAAAACCTGCTGTGGACCAACAGCAAAAACACAGCAGGTCAGAGGTCACTGTAATACTTTACATTTACATACTAATACTGTAATACATTTACATACTAATACTGTAATACATTTACATACTAATACTGTAATACATTTACATACTAATACTGTAATACATTTACATACTAATACTGTAATACATTTACATTTACATACTAATACTGTAATACATTTACATACTAATACTGTAAAAACTTTGAGGAAAATGCCGAAGAAATGAAAAGGAGATTCAAGAACAGAGGGTACACCCCCAGCACCATAGATTCAGCCTACAACAGAGCAAAACATCAGAATCGAGAACAACTGCTAATACAGAAAACAAAGTCAAATGACTGTTCTAACCAGGTCTACTTTGTAACTGAATTTGGCACAGAAGCCAATAAAATAAAACAAATAATCAACAGGAATTGGAGCATCTTAAAAAGCGACAGTACATTGAGAGAGGCCCTCCCAGATTCACCAACAGTAAGTTTTAGAAAAGCCCCAACACTTGGAAATAAACTGGTGAACAGCTACCTTCCACCCCTTAAATCAAATACATGGCTGAACACTCAAAGTGGCTGTTATAGATGTGGAAACTGTACATACTGCGACCATATTCAGCGTACTAATCACTTTATGGAAGTTTCATCTGGACAAACTTTCACCATCAAAACAATCATCAATTGCAATACTACCTTTGTAGTCTATAGACTTGAGTGTCCCTGCGGCCGCTTCTATGTAGGCCGTACAAAACGGAAACTGAAAAACAGACTGGCCGAACACAAGCAAGCTATAAGGACAAAAAACCCACAATATCCAATGGCTCTACACTACAGAGACTCCAACCATGGAAGTTGCAGTAGCCTGAAGATCTGTGGCATTGAGCATATTCCAGAGACAATAAGAGGAGGAAATAGACTCAAGACATTACTTCAAAGAGAGTCCTACTGGAAATATACTTTAAAAGCCACTCAATTCCCAGGCTTAAATGGGGAGTTGGACTATTCTCCTTTTCTTTAAGTACTTTTCAAAAAAGACCATTGATTATATTTCTTATATATTATATTCTTTATAGGTGTGTACATAATATTATGCACTTTGTTTGGGAGTTTCAATATTTTTTCCAGATTTTAAACTTTGTGACTGTAGGCCCGCCCACTGACCATGTGACAAGCACCATTCTCTTTAAATCTGTACTGAGACACTCCTCTCGAGTATGCCCTGAACAAGGCCAGAAGGCTGAAACGCGTAGCCGTAATTTTAACCTCTTTTTGCCATGTCAAATAAAGGCTTTTAAAGATTTTTGTAACTTTTGAGTGCCTCAGTCTTCTGTCAGAACTAATACTGTAATACATTTACATTTAAATACGAATACTGTAATACATTTACATACTAATACTGTAATACATTTACATTTACATACTAATACTGTAATACATTTACATTTACATACTAATACTGTAATACATTTACATTTACATACTAATACTGTAATACATTTACATTTACATACTAATACTGTAATACATTTACATACTAATACTATAATACATTTAAATACTAATACGGTATACATTTACATACTAATACTGTAATACATTTACATTTACATACTAATACTGTAATACATTTACATACTAATACTGTAATACATTTACATTTACATACTAATACTGTAATACATTTACATACTAATACTGTATACATTTACATACTAATACTGTAATACATTTACATACTAATACTGTAATACATGCGGGGGCAGCAGTCTAAGCAGAGACGCCCAGACTTCCCTATCCACACACACTTCCTCCAGCTCGTCCGGGGAGACCCCAAGGCGATCCCAGGCCAGCTGAGAGACATAGTCCCTCCAGCGTGTCCTGGGTCTTCCCCGGGGCCTCGTCCCGGTGCATCCGGAACAGATGCCCGAGCCACCTCAACTGGTTCCTCTCGACGTGGAGAAGCAGCGGCTCTACTCCGAGCTCCTCCCGTGTGACTGAGCTCCTCACCCTATCTCTAAGGGAGCGGCCAGCCACTCTGCGGAGGAAGCTCATTTCGACCGCTTGTATCCGTGATCTCGTTCTTTCGGTCATTACCCAAAGCTCATGACCATAGGTGAGGGAGGGAACGAAGATTGACCGGTAAATTGAGAGCTTTGTCTTTCGGCTCTGCTCCCTCTTTACCACGACGGTCCAATACAGCGACCGCATCACTGCGCACGCTGCACCGATCCACCTGTCAATCTCACGCTCCATTCTTCCCTCACTCGTGAACAAGACCCCGAGATACTTGAACTCCTCCGCTTGAGGAAGGACCTCTCCACCCACCTGAAGAGGGCAAGGCACCTTTTTCTGGTCGAGGACCATGGCCTCAGATTTGGAGGTGCTGATTCTCATCCCAGCCGCTTCACACTCGGTTGCAAATGTCCCAGTGCATGTTGCAGGTCCTGGCTCGTTGGAGCCAACAGGACAACATCATCCGCATGTGGTGGGCCCACAGGAGGGAATGCCCACGTCATCCCTTCGGGCTGAGCCCGGCCGGGCCCCATAGGCTAAGGCCCGGCAATCAGGTGCTCGCTTTCAAGCCCCGACCCGCGACGTCACTGTTTTTGTTGTAGTGCTGTCCATGTTGGCTTCGGACTGCTCTTCGTCTGACTCGTCACCTGAGACCTGTCTGCGATGGGAGGCCCTACCAGGGGCATGAAGCCCCAGACAGCATAGCTCCCAGGATCACCCGAGTGCTCAAACTCCCCCACCACGTTAAGGTGGCAGTCCAGGGGGGAGGGTGGCAGTCCAGTCTTTCTGTAGTGACTCAGACCAAAACTATTGTTTGTTTCAGATGAGGGACATATCAAAACAGTCTGAGGCAGAATGTCATTACATCTGTTTGATTTGCTCACAACCTTTTACTTTTGGGCACAACCAACACGAACTGTTAATGAAAGAGAAAATGTACGTACCTCAGCTTTATTTTAGTGAGTTTAGTTGCGTTTCAGGAGGAGACACAGACACTTCCTGATGCTCCATAATTCAGCTTCAGTATATGTGTGTTCATTGCTGCACAGTTTACGCACAGGTTACGCAAAGACACGCACTCAACATGCAGAGAATAGTCTTGCGGCGTGTATGGTCTTATATGACCACGTGTTATTATGGATACATGGGTCATTCTGAGTGATATTATGGACACATGGGTCATTCTGAGTGATATTATGGATACATGGGTCATTCTCAGAATCAGAATCAGAATCATTTTTATTGCCAACGTAAGTAACGGGAGGTCACAGACTTGGAAATTGCTTTGGCTCAGTGCAACAGTCAAAAAGAGATAATAAAAATAAGAATAAAAAACACTTCTAAAGAATAAATTTAAATTTAAAATAGAGTTACAGTTACTATTTACAATATACAAGTGCACATGGTGCACACAATGTAAGGTGACAGCAGTACAGTGAAGTAAAGTGACGTATGATGGGCAGTAAAGTGACTTTATAAAGGGCGGGGGGACAGGTTAAGAAGTGTTCAAGAGTCCAACAGCAGAGGGGAAGAAACTGTTCTTGTGGCGGGAGGTTCTAGTCCTGGTGGACCGCAGCCTCCTGCCTGAGGGGAGTGGTTGGAATAGTCCATGTGCAGGGTGAGAGGGGTCGGCTGTGATACGACCAGCCCGGCCTCGAGCTCGGGCGACGTACAGGTCCTGCAGCGATGGAAGGCTGCGGCCGATCACTTCCTCTGCAGAGCGCACAATGCGCTGTAGTCTCTGTTTGTCCCTGACTGTGGCTCCAGCGAACCACACGGTGATGGAGGAGGTGATGGAGGAGGTGATGGAGGAGGTGAGGATGGACTCGATGATGGCCGTGTAGAACTGCACCAACATCTGTGCAGGCAGCTTGGCTTTCCTGAGCTGCCGCAGGAAGTACATCCTCTGCTGGGCCTTCTTGATGAGGGAGCTGATGGTCGGCTCCCACTTGAGGTCCTGGGTGATGGTGGTGCCCAGGAAACGGAAGGACTCCACAGAGGTGATGGGGGAGTCCATCACGGAGGGTGGGGGTGGGGGGACAGTGCTCTTCCTGAAGTCCACAATCATCTCCACTGTCTTCTGGGCGTTCAGCTCCAGGTTGTTACCACTGCACCAGGACACCAGCCGGTCCACCTCCCTCCTGTAGGCGGACTCATCGTTGTTGGAGATGAGTCCAATGAGGGTGGTGTCGTCCGCGAACTTGATCAGCTTCACGGAGTCGTGGCTGGAGGTGCAGTGGTTGGTGTACAGGGAGAAGAGCAGGGGAGAAAGAACACAGCCCTGTGGGGCTCCTGTATTTATAATCCGAGAGTTCGAGACATTCTTCCCCAGACGCACTCGCTGCTTCCTGTCCGTCAGGAAGTCAGTGATCCACCTGCAGGTGGAATCGGGCACGTTGAGCTGGGAGAGCTTGTCCTGGAGCAGGGATGGCAGGATTGTGTTGAAGGCAGAGCTGAAGTCCACGAACAGGACCCTGGCGTAGGTCCCCGGGGAGTCCAGGTGCTGTAGGATGTGGTGGAGGGCCAGGTTAATGGCGTCGTCTACAGATCTGTTGGCTCTGTAGGCGAACTGCAGGGGGTCCAGGAGGGGGGAGGTGAGGGACTTGAGATGGGAGAGAACCAGGCGTTCAAATGACTTCATGACGACAGACGTAAGTGCTACAGGTCTGTAGTCATTGAGTCCTGTGATCCTGGGCTTCTTCGGACGGGGACAATGATGGAGGATTTGAAGCAGGCCGGGACATGGCAGGACTGCAGAGAGGAGTTGAAAATGTCCGTGAACACAGGAGTAAGCTCACTGGCGCAGTGTCTCAGAGTGGCCGGAGACACGTGGTCCGGGCCAGGAGCTTTGCGGGGGTGCAGCCTCAGGAAGAGTTGTTTAATCTCTTTAGCGGCTATTGTTAGGCTGGGGCAGGGCTGATGGGTGGGTCGTTAGAGTAGTGGGGATCGGGGAGGGAGAGGTGTCAGGGGCAGCATCAAAGCGACTGAAAAATAAGTTCAGATCGTCAGCTAGCTTGTGGTCGTCAGCACAGGGGGGGCTTTGGGTTTGTAGTTGGTGATCTCCCGTAGGCCCCTCCAGACAGAAGCAGTATCGTTGTTTACCAAACTGCTCCTGTAGTCGTTCTCTGTGCCGGGACTTGGCTGCTTTCAGTTCTTTCCTGAACTGATATTTAGCTGCTTTGTAGCCGCTGCGTCCCCCTCCCTGAAAGCAGACTCCTTTGCTTTCCTGAGCTGCCGGAGTTTAGCAGTGAACCAGGGTTTGTCGTTGTTATAGATGACCCTGGTCCTTGTTGGAATGATGCTATCCTCACAGAAGTGGATGTATGACGTCACAGTGTCCGTATATTCATCCAAGCTGTCTGTGGCAGCTCTGAAAAGGTCCCAGTCTGTAGATTCCATGCATGCGCGCGCTTGGCTCTTCCACAGCTTCATCAGACCACACTTTGGAGCTCCTCACTGCAGGTTTCGAGAGCTTTAGTCTCTGTCTGTAAGCAGGAACAGATGTATCATGGAGTGATCTGAGAAGCCGAGGGCTGGCTTGGGAACAGCGCGAAAAGCTCCGCGCACGGTGGTGTAACAGTGATCCAGAGTGTTCTCCTCTCTGGTCGGGCATTTGATAAACTGTCTGTATTTGGGTAATTCCTGGCTCAAGTTTTCCCTTATTAAAATCCCCCAGGATAATAATCAGAGAGTCCGGGTATAAGCGTTCCATACACAGTACTTGCTCTGCGAGTGCGCGCTGAGCCTCGCGCGCGTCCGCGCATGGCGGTATGTAAACAGAGGCAAGAATGAATGAAACAATTTCCCGCGGGGAGTAATATGGTTTACAATGAATGAAAAGATATTCCAGAGCAGGAGAGCAGTGCTTGGAGATCACTGTCACATCGTTACACCAGTTTGTATTGACGTAGAAACAGAGCCCTCCGCCTCTGCTCTTCCCTGAGAGCGCACAATGGCGATCCGCGCGAAACAGCCCAAAGCCCTGCAGCTCCAGAGCGCAGTCCGGGATCCGCTCATTTAGCCAGGTCTCAGTGAAGCAGAGGACACAGGATGTGGCGAAGTCCTTGTTTCTTTTCATGAGCAGGCTGAGTTCGTCCATCTTATTGCCCAGTGAGCGTACGTTGGAGAGAAAAATGCCGGGGAGAGCCGTGCGCGCTCCTCTCCTCCTTCTGAGTGATATTATGGACACATGGGTCATTCTGAGTGATATTATGGATACATGGGTCATTCTGAGTGATATTATGGACACATGGGTCATTCTGAGTGATATTATGGACACATGGGTCATTCTGAGTGATAACATGGACACATGGGTCATTCTGAGTGATATTATGGACACATGGGTCATTCTGAGTGATATTATGGACACATGGGTCATTCTGAGTGATATTATGGACACATGGGTCATTCTGAGTGATATTATGGACACATGGGTCATTCTGAGTGATATTATGGACACATGGGTCATTCTGAGTGATATTATGGACACATGGGGCATTCTGAGTGATATTATGGACACATGGGTCATTCTGAGTGATATTATGGATACTTTTACATAATACATACTAATACTTTAATACATTTACATAATACATATGAATACTTTAATACATTTACAAAATACATACTAATACTTTAATACATTTACATAATAAATACTAATACTTTACTTTACTAATTCTTTATTACATTTGACTACATCCTAATTACATTATTTCTCTGATTTATCTCTTAAAGTGAGCACAGAATATTTAGGATTGAATCTAAAGTTTAGATGAATCCTTTAAACATGGATTAATACAAACTTCTACAAACTAAGACGATAACACTTGTGTTGTTATATTTTTATATTGTGTTAACCTTAACCCAATACAAACATCAAACATAAATAGAACAGTAAAAGTGTTCTCGTTTTTTTTTCCTTCACTCACATTGTTTCTTTTTCAGATCCGTTTGTCAAAGTGTATCTGCTTCAAGACGGAAGAAAAATCAGCAAGAAGAAAACGTCAACGAAGAGAGACGACACAAACCCCATTTTTAACGAAGCAATGATCTTCTCTGTTCCCTCACTCGTCCTGCAGGTGGCGTACTACTGTCAAACACACATAATACTTATACTTTAATACATTTACATCATAATACTGCGAAAGGGTTTATTGCACATGATTTCAATTATTATGATGAACTCGCAGCATTGATGCAATGTACTGTATAAGTTTGGCTTCCATGGCATGTTGTACCTAATTTTTAAACTCATAATCTCAAGACAACAACCATTTCAGATATTCTTATATTTTAACCAACATGCGGTTAGCGTTAGGGTTTACCGCTAATTATAGTTTAATAAACAACAACTGGCTAAAAAATAAATCTGACATAAAACACATCTCTGAGAAAAAACACTCTATAGTTTTTCAAAAATGGGTTGACAGCGCTGGTTTATTGGACTGTGCCTTTCAGGGGTCACCTGGAGTGGCCCCTGGAGTGGCCCCTGGAGTGGCCCCTGGAGCGGCCCCTGGAGTGGCCCCTGGAGCGGCCCCTGGAGCGGCCCCTGGAGCGGCCCCTGGAGCGGCCCCTGGAGCGGCCCCTGGAGCGGCCCCTGGAGCGACCCCTGGAGCGGCCCCTGGAGTAGCACCTGGAGCGGCACCTGCCGTGATACAGTGGATTTTGAACAATCCAAATCTTAAATATGAAGTTATTATGAGGATTGCTGACTCATGCTTCCTCTGCAAAAGCCACCAGTGACAGAGTCCAAGGATCAATCCTGTTCTGATACAGAGTTCAGCATTCTATTTGTAAGTTTGCATGTTCTGCCTGTGACTGAGACATTGTCGTTGAGGTTTCTCATGTCCACTGACCCTAAGCCTAAAGGTCACTGAAGGGTTAGTGTCAGTGTAAAGGTCATTTTACATTTTAAGAGCAGGTCGTTTTTGTATATTATGTACCTATATATTTGGTGTATGGAAGGTGCTGTAGAAGTGGAAGGATTACAGATGAAGTATTGTGTCCATGAAGAGATCTTTTAGTCTGAACCTTGAAAAACCAAAAACCTCATGAGGACGATGGCTGAAGCTAAATGACACCGTTATCTGTTTCAGGAGCTGTCGCTAAGGGTGACTGTTGCTGAGGCGACAGAAGATGGGAGGGGTGAGAACCTGGGTCATGTGATCATCGGCCCGGAGGCGAGCGGCATCGGCATCACCCACTGGAACCAGATGTTAGCCACGCTGAGAAAACCTGTGTCCATGTGGCATCCACTGCGGCGGATCTAGACTGGTGTTTTCAATAGTTTTTTTATGTGCGTATGACAGGCTTTCTCTCGCACTCAGGCGTATTTACGATTTCAGATTTTACTACAAATAAGTGAAATATGAGGAGAGTGCTGAAAAATATGATATGTTACAATTAGAATTTTAACGTTAACCCTTGGGGGGCCAGAGTTTTGTTCAAAAATTGGAAGTGAAACACAGAAAGGTAGAGCCTTGAAACTTTATAAAAGATGAGGAAATATTAAATTCATTACAAGAAATAAATACAAAGAAAAGATTGATCAAAGGTAGAAAATGTTTGTGGGAATCCAGGCTGCTGTATAGAAAGTGTCCTGGATTCTCGACCTAAAGGGCGTATATCTCGTTGTGAGATTTGTATTTATATTCCATCAAAAACTTCCTGATTATGAGGTCACTACTTGTACACGGGGCAATACACTTCTCTAATGAAATGGCATTCTTAAGAACGCTTAGTTTTAGAAAATGAATGTTTCAAACACCCGAAAATGTGCTTGTAAGAACATCAAACTAGAATCTTAGAGAAATATTCCCATTTGTTGGTATTTCTTGAATTGTTTTTGCAAAAGTCACACTCAGGTCAAGCTTCAGTAATTATCAATAAGATCATTTAATGTCATTATCATAATATTCAAAGAAATTTTGATAAATACAGAAGCTGCATTTATAAAATCATCGTATTGATGAAATAGATTTATAAAAAGATACCAATGTATTCTCCCACTGCTTCCATAAAGACAAACATGAGTGAATATTGTACCAGATTTAAGGGGTAGGGTCAGGGGTTAGGGTTAAGCATTATGGTTAGGGGTAGGGTTAGGGGTTAGGGTTAAGCATTATGGTCAGGGGTAGGGTTAGGGTTAAGCCTTATGGTCAGGGGTAGAGTTAGGGTTAAGCATTATAGTCAGGGGTAGGGTTAGGGGTTGAGGAGAATCCCAAGTATTTAGCAAGCTTTTATATGAATGGTTTAAAAGTATCATGTTTGATCAAAGTGAAAGGGTTTTATAATAATAAAGATCTGTCACTTTTCAGGTGATTTGAAAAATTATTTTGTATTTGTTTTGATGAATTGAAAGGAGCTTATGTAACTGTTCAAAGTCTGGGGTCACTCACTTTGTTACATTCAGTATTTACACAAGGATCACATCCAGTTAGCCTTTAAATGCTAACAGTAACAACACAAGAGAGAGGTCATCGACACGTTAAAGGGGACATCAGAAATATACTTTTCACAGTAACTCATTTTGATGATTATATCATCAATATATATCATTTTGGAACTTTGAACAGCGGTGCAAACTTTCATTTCATAACAATAGTCTGCCTTTCGAATGGGAAAAAGTCCTATAAATAAATAAATATCTATTGGTCTTGTTAGTCCCGGTGGCAGTGAGGAATGGGTCAAATACAGAAGACAAATGACACTGCCCTCCACTAATATTAACTTCTACAGTCGATTGTGTGGCGTTAAATGTCTTTTTCCAATGTTTATGCATATTCAGAACATATTCAGGTCATGATTATTTACCCATTTAAAAACATCTCACGCTTCAATCACAGTTTGAACTCCTCAACAAGTCCAACATTTATTTTTGTACTACATTTGTTTTTATTTGTGTGGATTGTAAAAACACACAAAACACAACATATGAGACATTATTGCTAAAAATTCAACCTAACCCTAACTTTAGAAATAAGAACCACTGCTTTTCTTGTGAACTTCTATTCCATTGTTTTTGAAAAGGAAATCAAGGCTTGTGTTGAATCTTGTGTTTTCTCTAAAGTCTAAAATACGGTTTAAAAACATAAATCAAGACATATATGACTGAATAATAAAGCATGAAAAACAGCCACTGTTGTAAATAACTACTGCATTATTTATTAAAGGTGCCAAAATTCTTGGAGGGCAATGTTTTTCTGATCATAGACCGTGATCCGGACCTTTGTTTCATTCAGTTTGGCTTTACCTGTAAAATATCTTTTAAAAGCTGGTGGGTGGAGCCATAGTCTCTCATAGCAACGTCATAGCAACCAATGATCCAGATCACAAACTGCTTCAGCTGTTGTACGGTCGATGGTTATAACTTTGGCTCTTTTTTACACAGTAAATCATTTATCATCCTAAAGAACAGAACAAAGCCAAAATCTAAATCGAATCAAAAGGAAATTTTCTCTGGAGCGTGTCTTAGCTTCTGTAAAGTCTGTAAAGTTAAGACCCTTTACTCATAGAGCGCCAGAAGAACTCGTTTACGGTTTTGTTTTGGAATTAAACTACAAAACAAAACACTCTTTTTCAGGTGAAGCAGCTGTTGTCACGGGGTCGGTCCAATCAGCAAAGAAACACACACATTTTACGAGAAAATGTCTCAATGTTAAAACATTTAAAAATCACATGACGACTGAACACACTTCAAACAGCAACAGCTGAAATATAGATATTATATAAATATGATATATACTTGCTTAGTCTTAAAGTATTTTATATGAATGTATGTTGTTTAAACTGTGGAAATATCTTTAAACAATAAGGACATGTTAGGATTGGACTGACCAACATCATGCTAACACTATGCTAGCTGAAACAGGCTATTTGAGCGGGAATATGGAGCCAGTTTGGTTGGTAGCAACGGCAGAGTTACAAAGCACCAATCGGCAGCGCCGCTGGTCTGTCCCCACCACGCTACTTGACAGATGGGTCCTTAGTGGCTAATTGTTCAGGCTCATATAAATGAATCTGAATATGAGGACAAAAATAATATCACAATATAATTACCAAGATTGAAGACTGGGCTAAACCACAGATGTGTTAAACCCAAAATAGTGAGTGTGACAAAACGATTCCTGAGTTAGAGGAGTCAATAGGAGCCAGAGCGAGGAGAAAAACTAAGTCCATGGGCGCTTCCCTTTATTGAGCTTGGGGGTTAGCATTGTCCAGCTAGATAGAGTCTTCTTAAAACAAACATGTCATGAAACGAGCATACAAAGTTACTTTTTAAAGTATTTAATTAATGACCAGTAAGAATTTCTGGAGGAGAGGAGTTAAACCAATGATGAGGGGGGTCATGGGTTTGAATGAATGAATCAGGAACCTGCATTAGACCGGGTCTAACCGGTACCTGCAGGAGACCGGGTCTAACCGGTACCTGCAGGAGACCGGGTCTAACCGGTGCTTATCTTCACAAAGTTTCACTTAACAATTTGAAAATGATATTCACTGGAAATGATCCTTGTGTTTAAACTCACAGACATGAAAGAATTCAGTGTAGCTAATGTTATGAATGAACCTAGTGTCCCATTTCAGCCAAAAAAAAATAAACCATGTGTACCTATACCATATGCACCTATACCATGTGCACATATGTCATGTGTACATATACCATGAGTACATATACCATGTGTACATATCAATCACTGCATTTTCTACTCAGCGATATTTACCTGTTGCTGATAATAATAACCTCTGGGATTGAACATGTGAACTGTACTAACCTCTCCACGGTACAGACTTCATTATAAACATGTGAACTGTACTAACCTCTCCACGGTACAGACTTCATTATAAACATGTGAACTGTACTAACCTCTCCACGGTACAGACTTCATTATAAACATGTGAACTGTACTAACCTCTCCACGGTACAGACTTCATTATAAACATGTGAACTGTACTAACCTCTCCACGGTACAGACTTCATTATAAACATGTGAACTGTACTAACCTCTCCACGGTACAGACTTCATTATTTTCGTGAAAACTGTCGCCAATGATGAATTGAGTGTGCACCGTTTTATTTCTCTTTACAGCGGGATTTTGTTTAATTTTTTCTTGACACTACTGACTTTGCAAATCCATGTTGAAAAGTGACTTGATTTGTAGCCTCTTTCTCCAAAAATATATTTTTGTTGTGTCTGGAAACTTCTATACCTTGTGTTTATACTCTTTAGAGTCGCCTCTCCACAGATATGACCCATCCGTTTCCTTTGTTCAGGACACTGGACACTGGGCTCTTGGCCCTAGGTTAGAACTGTGTGTCAAAGCGGGCCGTGATGGTCTACACTGAAAGACCATAACACCAGGACTCCCTTGGGAAAAGCGATTCTGAAATCTCTGTGGAACGTTCCCAGACTTGGTAAAATAAAGGTAAATAAAACGTTCCAGGCGCACGTCGTCAAAGCAGGATTCGACATTGTCCATATCTGTGTTTAGCAACAATGGACCAGGCTGTCCATACACTGTCTAGCTCCAGACCCTCATGTATGGGAAAATAATGGGCCGGTATATAATGTTTCAAATAGAAAAAAATAACCCAAAATAGCATAAACACATCCTTTCCATCTTTACTTCATAAAGACCTCACAAACCAGCACCACATTATGGGAAACATTGTGTTTTTGGATAGGACATGCTATATAATAGTACTTTTTACTGTGGTAGTGAGTTTTAATCAGTACTGTAGTTTATCTGTGAATGATCTACTGTATGTACTAACTGCATCAGCCTTATGTTTTAAAACGCATCAGTTCAAGAAGAGACTATGTTTTCTATTGTGCCAAATAATCAAGCAATATCTTCATTTACACTCACAGTTTAGCATTTTGTCTCAAAAGGCTGTAGCCGCCATCGGATCTAGCATGACGCTATTTAGCATTTGATGTGAATGTGCCTCAAACTGGGTCATGTGTGAATGCTGTTTGAAATAAAGAAATAAACACGGATCCAGCTGTGAATATGTTTGTTCTAAGTCTAGGACCACACGTCATGCTGTTATAGTCTGAAGGATGACTTTCGTTCATAGTGGAGTTTGCATGTTCTCCCCGTGTCTGGTTTTCCCTATCACTAAAAACATGCAGCTTAGGGTTAGCTCCAGCTCTGATCTTCTCCATGGGGACAGTAAAGTATAGGAAGCTGTGTTTAACACTTAAATCTGTAACTATGGTTATACAGCCACATGTCTGTGGTAAGATAATAAAAGGGTTAAGGTTAACCCTAACCACAAGAATAACATATGAAAGCAGATACAACAGCTGTAATAACAATAATAAAGTCATCAAATAGTCAATCAAGGAGCTATAAAAGAGAATGAAATATATACAAAAACTGGGAAAAATGTACATTTGTTTTCAAAAACTTCTTCTAAGCATTCCTGTGTTAGCACAGGTACCATCTCCTTGGTCTTACTGGGGTTAGCACAGGTACCATCTCCTTGGTCTTACCGACCGATATTCCAGTTCGTTCCCCTCAGACACACAGCCCACGATGGCGGAGTCGTCGGAGAACTTCTGCAGGTGACAGCTGTGTGTGTCGTGTGTGAAGTCTGAAGTGTAGATGGTGAAGAGAAACTGTGAGAGGACAGTGCCCTGAGGGGCCCCAGTGCTGCAGACTACCACCTCAGACTCACAGCTGCGCAGCCGCACGTACTGTGGTCGGTCTGAGAGGTAGTTGATGGTCCATGCAGTGAGGCTACTGTCCACCCTGGGCAGCCCCCAGGGTGGGGCTGACCAGGGAGTGGAGATGGGTGAGGATGAGCTGCTCCATGGTCTTCATCAGGTGGGAGGTCAGTGCTCCATGGTCTTCATCAGGTGGGAGGTCAGTGCTCCATGGTCTTCATCAGGTGGGAGGTCAGTGCTCCATGGTCTTCATCAGGTGGGAGGTCAGTGCTCCATGGTCTTCATCAGGTGGGAGGTCAGTGCGACTGGTCTGTAGTGAGCCGGTTCCTTGGCGTGTGCTGTTTTTGGAACCGGGATCACACAGGAGGTCTTCCACAGGACAGGGACCGGTTCAGGTGGAGAGGGGGGAGAATCAAACCGGTTGAAATATTGGTTAAATTCATCCGCCCGGTGCTGCTCTCCATCCGCTGTCCTTTGGGCACTCTGTCCTAAGCCGGAGATGTTCTTCAGTCCTTCTTGGCCCTCCTGATCCTCCACTGGAGCTCGTGCTGGATCCTCTGCTCCTCTTTGTCCCCTGAGATGAAAGCCCTTTTCTTGAGGTTCAGGTAGGGCTTTAAGCTCAGGGGTCACCCATAGGTGGTTGTTGGAAAAGCACCGCACCTTCTTAGTCGGTACAGTGTTGTCCACACAGAAGAGGATATTGTCTGTTATACAGTGTGTCAGGCTCTCCATGTCAGCACCATGAGAGCTGCAGATCATGTCCCAGTCTGTGCTTTGAAAACAGTCTCTCAGCCTCTCCTCATCCTCTCCTCAGCCTCTCCACAGCCTCTCCTCATCCTCTCCTCAGCCTCTCCACAGCATCTCCTCATCCTCTCCACAGCCTCTCCTCAGCCTCTCCTCAGCCTCTCCTCATCCTCTCCTCATCCTCTCCTCAGCCTCTCCTCATCCTCTCCTCATCCTCTCCTCAGCCTCTCCTCAGCCTCATCCTCAGCTTCTCCTCAGCCTCTCCTCATCCTCTCCTCATCCTCTCCTCAGCCTCTCCTCATCCTCATCCTCAGCCTCTCCTCAGCCTCTCCTCATCCTTTCCTCATCCTCTCCTCAGCCTCTCCTCAGCCTCTCCTCATCCTCATCCTCATCCTCAGCCTCTCCTCAGCCTCTCCTCATCCTCTCCTCAGCCTCTCCTCATCCTCTCCTCAGCCTCTCCTCATCCTCTCCTCAGCCTCTCCTCATCCTCTCCTCAGCCTCTCCTCATCCTCTCCTCAGTCTCTCCACAGCCTCTCCTCATCCTCTCCACAGCCTCTCCTCATCCTCTCCACAGCCTCTCCTCATCCTCTCCACAGCCTCTCCTCAGCCTCTCCTCATCCTTAGCCTCTCCTCAGCCTCTCCTCAGCCTCTCCTCAGCCTCTCCACAGCCTCTCCTCATCCTCATCCTCATCCTCAGCCTCTCCTCAGCCTCTCCTCAGCCTCTCCTCATCCTCTCCTCATCCTCTCCTCAGCCTCTCCTCATCCTCTCCTCATCCTCTCCTCAGCCTCTCCTCAGCCTCATCCTCAGCTTCTCCTCAGCCTCTCCTCATCCTCTCCTCATCCTCTCCTCAGCCTCTCCTCATCCTCATCCTCAGCCTCTCCTCAGCCTCTCCTCATCCTTTCCTCATCCTCTCCTCAGCCTCTCCTCAGCCTCTCCTCATCCTCATCCTCATCCTCAGCCTCTCCTCAGCCTCTCCTCATCCTCTCCTCAGCCTCTCCTCATCCTCTCCTCAGCCTCTCCTCATCCTCTCCTCAGCCTCTCCTCATCCTCTCCTCAGTCTCTCCACAGCCTCTCCTCATCCTCTCCACAGCCTCTCCTCATCCTCTCCACAGCCTCTCCTCATCCTCTCCACAGCCTCTCCTCAGCCTCTCCTCATCCTTAGCCTCTCCTCAGCCTCTCCTCAGCCTCTCCTCAGCCTCTCCACAGCCTCTCCTCATCCTCATCCTCATCCTCAGCCTCTCCTCAGCCTCTCCTCAGCCTCTCCTCATCCTCTCCTCAGCCTCTCCACAGCCTCTCCTCATCCTCATCCTCATCCTCAGCCTCTCCTCAGCCTCTCCTCATCCTCATCCTCAGCCTCTCCTCAGCCTCTCCTCATCCTCTCCTCAGCCTCTCCTCATCCTCTCCTCAGCCTCTCCACAGCCTCTCCTCATCCTCATCCTCAGCCTCTCCACACTTTAACAGACATCTTCTGCGCTGGATTCCTCCTCACCATGGGATCAGTGAGAAGAGTGCTCCACGGTCTCTCCCCACTCGAGGACCCTCCCAAATATGTTCTGAACCACGGACTGAGGCTCTGGAGTTAAGATGACACATAATTAGTTAAACATTTATAAAACAATTTCAGTGTGTAAAAACTACGATGTTCAAATGTAATAAGCAGTGATGGGAATAACGGCGTTACTACTTTTTTCAGTAACGAGTAATCTAACTAATTACTTTGACAGTAACTATAACGCCGATATCATTTCCGACATCCCGTTACTGCGCGTTACTCAAGACGCACAATGAACGTGTTGTCATGAGAGAAGGGAGGATGAGAAAACCTCTCAGCAATTATTGGTTGATGTAAAACATATTTCCTTTACAATCCACATGTCTACAGTTGAGAGGATGGCTCATAAATTGTGTTTTTGAAACAAATATGGGTCTTAATCACACTCTACCACGGCTTGTATCACCGTGAGGGCTCAGAGGAGCGCATGTGAGCGCAGAAGTCGGCTTCATACAATTCCATCGATAAGCTCCTTGCTCTTCCTGGTTTATCTGCTAAGGACAGCAACAGGTTTGGCTAACATACATATAACACATTTTTACATAATCTAAAATGCACATAGGGTAATTTTTCAATTACTATAGGAATGATAAGAAAGAGAGGTGAAGTGTTAGACGGTTGATTTTAGAAATTGGATGCAGCCGGCTGCAGCAAAACACAGGAGTTTATGGAGGACACACGCGTTTTGTTTTACTTTTTAAAACTCATTGGACTCATTTCCAAATGGAGGATTATATATCTACGCTCAAACCATTAACTGGATTTAAACAAGGAACTGGTCTGAACCGAAGTGGACTGTGCAGGTCATTTATAAGGTAAGACCCATAACTCATAGTTTTGCGTTTTGTATGAACAAACAATGCGGGCATAAAACATATTTTGCTGTAGCCAAACAAATTGTCCACTTGATTTATATGATGTATATGTTCATCTGATTGGACTGAAGTCAGTGCTTCACCAGCCTCACCGCTCGTCACCGGTGTTTCCACATTCACAGTGAGAGATGAAGAGTGAACAGGACTTCAGCAGCAAAACAGCCTTTTCTAGATGGAAATATTGACACTGTTAAAGGTAAAAATGCGCACGTCGGGTGCACATTATGTTCCAGAACAAAACGAAAAAGTAACGCAATAGTTACTTTTACTGGTAACTAGTTACTTTTACTTTTTCTGAAAGATCAAGGCTATGCTCACACTCAGAGAGCAGCCTCCTGTGGACTCACCACCTGCAGAGGGTCAGTGAGGGGCTGGTGCTATGAGACTTGGGTGGCATCTCTGACTGCCACCCCCCTGACCCAGAAATGGATTAAAGGGAAGAAGATGGATGGATGGATGGATAGTTACTTTTATAGTGGAGTAACTCCGTTAGTAACTCAGTTACTTTTTGGGAGAAGTAACTAGTAAATATAACTAATTACTTTTTCAAAGTAACATGCCCAACACTGGTAATAAGTGTCTTTTTCATAGTCTCACAATGATGCCACCTCAATGGTTTCCTGTAAAATTCCCTGATTGCTGGATTTTGGTTGAAGAGAGGTGAGAAAATACTATTGTAAAAACAAAAGAGCAGCTTGATAAGTCAGCTCTCTTCTAAAACACACTTTTAAGTTATGTGTATTTTACTAATATTTTTTGTTCCTTTTATATGTATCAGTTTATTTTGCGGTCATTCACATTTCAACTCCTGGGTGTTTTTTAACTAAACCTATAATCATGTTGTATAATAATAGACCAAGTTTTAGCAAATGTAGGTCAGTGTTTGCTCTCAGCCAATCAGCAAAGAGGGGCGCAGAGGGGGCGGAGCTTATTGGAGGGGCGGGGCTTCAGGCGCAAACTCCGGAAGAATTCTGCAGGATTTTCTCACATTCGGAGCCCTCACAAGAGCGTTATTATCTCCCTTTTTCGTGGAGGTTTGAGCATAACTACAGCATGGCCGGCAGCAGAGACAAAGCCACGGACCAGATGAAGCTGTGGAAAGAGGGTCGTGCTTCTCAGGTTAGTACCAAACTGAAAACAGCGATAACTGCAGAAACTGACCTTAAACCCAAACCCTGCTGCAGAAACTGACCTTAAACCCAAACCCTGCTGCAGAAACTGACCTTAAACCCAAACCCTGCTGCAGAAACGGGTGAAGGGTCGTCTGAGGACGTGGGATTCTGCAAGACGCGGATTTCCGTTAAATTAAAGCGTTTTAAAATAATTCAAACACAGTAAAACACATTCTTTGTTGCCATAAAGTTCTTGGATCATGGTTTTGACGCTGTCTTTGATGTTACATTGTGTTACATATGCTAATGCTAATGCTAAACTAACTAAACAATGGCACTTTAGCTGTCAATGCATAACTAGCTAGGTTAGTTGTTATTGAATGTTGTGTATAACACATTAAATAATACTAGCTCCTGAGCATTAACAATGACCTAAACTCGGTCATTGGCCACAGACATTGGACTTCAGCCTTGATACTTGCACAACAGCATGATAATGATAAATAATCCATGTCAGCCTCTGTCAGTGGTTATATGTGTTTATATGTGTTATATAACTTTTACATGTGTTTACTCAGTGTTGTCATTTCGTGGCTTACAAAACATATTATGAGGGAGTTCTGTAAATTTCACCTTTGTGAGATCAATAAAGTATACCTTGTCTACTTCAATGAAGCATCATATATGGAATAAAGTTTGTATTTTCTGTGTTCGAACAGATTTTCTAATATGTTGTAGGTGGAGTTCCACAAGTTCTTTTCTCTAAACAGTCGTTGCTCCCACTTCAACTGGAGTAAATTTTGAGATTGTTATTGTCTATGATGCGACTATTCTCTTAAATCAGGCCACACCTGTACACACCTGTAGACACCTGTACGCACCTATACACCCGTGTACACATCTGTACACACCTGTACACACCTGTACACATCTGTACACACCTGTACACAAATGGTCCCCTTTGGTGTTGGAGGTTTTAAACGCTGTGCTTGCTAGACTGTAAGCAGTATTTTATGAGCTATATGCCAATGTGTGTAATTTCATTTTGTTAGAGCGCCCCCTGGGGAGATATTTGGACGCAGCTCTTTCGGCCCTGGCTCTCCGGAGCTGATTCCCGTTTCCTGCTGTGTTTATGTGAACAGCAGAGACTAATCGGGCAAAAAACATTTTGCTCTCTGGTGTGTGTTTGTTTCACAGAGAGCCGACACTCTGACCACTGGAGGGGGGCACCCCATCGGAGACAAGCTGAACAGCATGACTGCGGGCCCTCGGGGGCCACTCCTAGTTCAGGATGTGGTCTTCACTGATGAGATGGCCCACTTTGACCGAGAGAGGATCCCCGAGCGAGTGGTGCATGCCAAAGGAGCAGGTCAGAGTCTGTCTCTTGTCTGGTCTTAGTCGGCTAAATCAGTAGTTTATTTTTATTTTTCTAAACGGCAACAAATGTTTCTGATTGATTTTTTTATTATTTTTTTCTACAAAAACTGTTTTGTTATGAACTTTGAGTTCTTGTTCTTTAGCAAACCATCACATTTACTCACAGATGAGTTAATTAGTGAGACTAATCTAATCCTGTTGCAGTAGACTGATGCGGTTCAACAATTAAAATTTTCAGGTGCCTTTGGATACTTCGAGGTGACCCACGACATCACGCGCTACTGTAAGGCCAAACTGTTCGAACATGTGGGAAAAACGACTCCTCTCGCTGTGCGCTTCTCTACTGTGGGTAAGGCACTGGTTTGGATTGAACCTGAATCTGTTTCTCTCTAATTCAAACCATCCAGTTGCTTTTCTTTGTTAGCATCTCTCTAGTTGACACATTAATATCTAATGTTCATTATTTTATATCATCAAGACCAACTAGAAGCACTCTTGTGTTTGGTTTTCATAAAAGCCGCTATATTAATGTTTACCCACGTTTAGCTGGACATCATTTTGATATGAACGTTTCAGCTGGAGAGTCTGGTTCTGCAGACACGGTGAGGGATCCTCGAGGTTTTGCTGTAAAGTTTTACACAGAGGAAGGGAACTGGGACCTGACCGGAAACAATACTCCCATATTCTTCATCCGGGACGCTATTCTGGTGAGCAGTCTTCATTAGTCATTAGCAAAACATTGTATTTTGCATAAAAAAGGCCCTTTGAGGCTCTGAAAAAGCTGATCTAAAGATGTGACAAAGGCTATAAAATACATGCATGTGAAAACCAGTGATGGAAGCAAAGACTTTTGAGACTAGTCACTTAGGTTTGTATTAAATAAGAATTTATTTTGTGGTTGAGGTTAGGTATCCCAGCCTTTAAACACTGCAGTCTTGTTAGTACATTATTATATAATAATTTATATGGTTTTATTGTCAACATTTTTCTAGTTCCCGTCGTTCATCCACTCTCAGAAGAGGAACCCTCAAACCCACATGAAAGACCCGGATATGGTCTGGGACTTCTGGAGCCTGAGGCCCGAGAGTCTGCACCAGGTAAACCATGCGTCATGTGACTAAAGACATAATTAAATAAAGAAATCATGCCCGTTCTAAACAGTACTTGAAAACCGGTGTGAAATGTCAACTGTCTACCGCTCAAATCTTTATACTGTCCAAATGAAAACATTCTTGACACAATTGATGTGTGCCTTCAGTGCTCCGTTATGATGCAACGGTTCAGATCGTTTCTCGGATCTAAGTCACGGATCGGATCATTTTTTGGATCAGTATAAACAAGGAGGGACAAGACACACAAAAAAAACATAAAAACATTGGTTTTATAAAGTGCTTTTTTTGGACACTCAAAGATGTTTCACATCATTATCCTTTCACTCCATACACAGTGGTGATAAACTACTGGAGCCACAGCTGCCCTGGGGCACACTGACAGAGGTGAGGCAACCAGTCTGTGCCATTCACACAGAAACCAGACTCAATCTAATGTGGGGGAAGTGTCTTGCAAAGGACACAACGACAGCAGACAGTGAGAGTCAGTGGAGAAGGTCCCGTGGTGGACTCGAACCCACGACCTTCAGGCTCAAAGGCCAATGCTCTACCGTCTGAGCCACTGTCTCCTCATAAAATAATCAAAAGTTTAGTCTTTTTGTTTATTAACACTTTCTCTGGGTTAATAAAGGACAAGGAAAACACTTAAAGAAATTTAAATAATAATAAAAACAAACATAGGCGTTTAAATTTGTGCACTGTCACTTTAAGAGAATGACAACAAACTCTTGCTTACTTACTGTTAGCATTAGCTGTCATTTTTGTTCTTACTGGCGCACAAGCTGCTGAAACGCTGCGGTGATGAGCCATAACTGGACTGGACATGCGCACAACTATCCTTTTTCATAACCACTAAACACAATGTCACTGAAATGGTGTAATATCCCTCTTCTATCACAAGATGGAGCTCTTTCACAACTCTCGCTCTTTTCTTCACCCTTTTGTGGCTCTAAGAAGTTTATTTCACTGAAACCTGAAATGTCTAAGTGTACATCTAGTTAAGTTTGTCCCTGTGCTCTGGACAGGTGACATTTCTGTTCAGTGATCGAGGGATCCCAGACGGATACAGACACATGAACGGATACGGCTCTCACACTTTCAAACTGGTGAACGCTGAGGGAGAGCCCGTCTACTGCAAATTCCACTTCAAGGTCTGTAAAATCCTGGATTAGCCTCCATTCCTCATGTGCTATGGTTTTATTTCACAATCACCTTGTTTTAAAACAGATTTGTTTCTCTTCAGATGCTTTATTTTTAGACAAAATGACATTGCCTTTTATAGGAAAGCAAAACATGTAAAAGTAGTTTTTATAGAAGAGCCATGTTCATGGGCTGCTCAGAGGTGGTTATCCCTAACCTGTTACAGCTTCATAATGTTCCTGTTTTCAGACGGACCAGGGCATTAAGAATCTGACGGTGGAGGAGGCCGAGCGCTTGGCTGCTTCAAACCCGGATTACTCCATCGGTGACTTGTACAACGCCATCGCCGACGGAAACTTTCCCTCCTGGACATTTTACATCCAGGTTATGACGTTCGAGCAGGCCGAGACTTTTCAGTTCAACCCCTTCGATCTCACCAAGGTAATGCAAGACAATAGCCTGGCCTTAGCCATCCGTACACTCCGCTCAATCATCATTTCACTGCATGTAACGGTCTGGGCCTGGTCCCTGTGTTAGCGATTACAATCGGCTGAATTTGGACCGATCAATCAGCGAGCGCGTTGTAGGTCGGTGCCGGTGACGTCAAGAGTTTGCGCCGAACGGGCAGGTTGTGGTTTGGCAATGGCGAAGAATGTGATAGTAAAGTAATCCGGTCTGGTTCTATCAAGAAATTGAAGCCGGAGCAAGAGGAATGTTTAGCAAATGTAATCGCTGGTCAAGATTGTGGCGCTACTCCCCACAGGCTCCGTTAGCGGCAAAGCAGATGGCTAAAGCTAGGCTAAATGCTTACAACAGACTTGGGCGCATTACATACATCACGGTAAACTCAGATCCAATCGTTTCAATCTGCAAAAGAAATGTCTTGCTAGCCTGGTTGTACCACACCATAGTACAAATTACAAGCGTCTTTGTTCATTTAACGCAGGACCCATTTTTAACATCTCAAGAAAAACATTGCATTAGACAAAGATAATGGAATTGTCTTAGGACTGATGACTCTCAGCCTTTAGTAGTTTTACTACCACAAGCGCTTGTGCCGCTCTTCAGAGTACTTGCTCTTGTACATCTTCAGTTCTGTTCGAGTTAAGTTTGGATGGCTGAGGCATTCCTGTTCGCTGGATTGTCTCCGGACCACTTCTTTCTCCAGTTTCACAATATCACTTTGGCCATTTTCAGCAGCCAACATTATTGGCGTCCTCTTTTTGGCGTCAGTCACATTTTTATCCTTTCTCTAAAAAGTACTTTGCCATCTCAATATCGTTTGTGAGATTCGCTGTAGCTGTCGGGAGAGTAACCCTTTATATTCTGAACGTCTATGTCAGCCCCATTGTCCAGAAGCAGTGTAACTATAGACCCTTTTGATGGACTGGTTGCCTGATGTAGCGCTGTATCTCTGTTGGCGTCTCGCATGTTAATGTTAGAACATTTCTCTTGGAGGATTTTAAGTCACCCTAACCTCCTTAAACCGCCTTCACGAGGGCAGAGTTACCAGATCTGTCTGAAAGATTCATTTCAGCATAGAGCATTTTCAAGAACTACAGGAGATGGAGCTGGAGATAGAACACGCGGTCTTCATTTCACATGCAATAAGTAGCACCGTTCTGTGTCTGCCTGTTTACGTCTGACCTATTTTGATGAGGTGACTGTATACAGTACTTTGTTGGTATCTCTCTCTGATATGACCCTGTCTCTACAACCATCGAAAAGGCAAATATGGGCCCTGGCAAAATTGTATCTTGGAAATGTCGCACTGCCTCATCACTAATTGCAGGTGTAGATATTATAGTTTGTTTCTACATCTACATCTCGTCTGCGTTGCCAGGTCTGGTCTCATAAGGAGTTCCCGCTAATCCCGGTGGGGAAGATGGTGCTCAACAGAAACCCAGTGAATTACTTTGCTGAGGTGGAGCAGTCCGCCTACGATCCCAGCAACATGCCTCCAGGGATTGAGGCGAGTCCCGACAAGATGCTGCAGGTAAGAAACTCATGACTTGGGGCATAATGCACTTTTTCATTTTTAAGCTTAGCAGAACTTGTTTCCCTCGTTAGTCCGATTGGTATGTTAGGATGAGCACATAATCGAATCCGCACTAAGATCCCTCCCTGGTCCAGGAGAGAGGATTAAAAATAGTTCTTAAATGATTCCATGAACGTAAACCATTTAATATACGGATCAAAACCTGCGAACCTCACAATGTGCTGTGAGAGCTCTGAACCAAAAAAATACTTTTGAAGATTCCCTTTAATAATCCCAAATAATTTTGGAGGAAAATTAACACCTTATGTGGTGAGTCTAAAAGTGCTAATACTAACATCATAACTAATAATGAAGTTATGTCTGATCCACTTGAGATTGCCAATGCTTTTAGTTTGCATTTCTTCCAAACTCCTCCGATACCTCCTCCACCGTCGTATCCTGATTTAACCTTAAACTCAGCCTGGCAATAGCTCCTTTTGTATTTAGACAAGTTAGTTCTGCCGAGGTTTTTCAGGTCATTAGTAAATTGTCCTCAAGCAGCGGACCTGGCCCTGATGGTATTGAGGTAAAATTTCAAGTGAAGTAATGGTAATCATAAATTGTATGTATCTGTAAATATTATAAGTTGTCTGATCTTTTACGGGCCTTTTCAGGGCCGCCTCTTCTCGTACCCAGACACACATCGCCACAGACTGGGAGCCAACTACCTACAGTTGCCGGTGAACTGTCCCTACAGAGCCCGAGTCGCCAACTACCAACGGGATGGCCCCATGTGCATGTTCGACAACCAGGGCAAGTCACAACCTCAAAACACTGCTTCAGCTGCAGGAGGCCACACACAGAGTGTAATCCATAATGGTGCTTTCAGACCGGATCATGCGTTGCATCGGCTTTCAATGCAAAGTCTGGTGACTCGCGTTCGAGCGTCACTACGCACGGACCTCTCGGCACGCACAAACGGACTGTTCAGTAGACACGCACAAACGGACTGTTCAGTAGAGACTCACGAACGGACTGTTCAGTAGAGACTCACAAACGGACTGTTCAGTAGACACGCACGGACGGACTGTTCAGTAGACACGCACGGACGGACTGTTCAGTAGAAACCCACGGACTGTTCAGTAGACACGCACGGACGGACTGTTCAGTAGACACGCACGGACGGACTGTTCAGTAGAAACCCACGGACTGTTCAGTAGAAACGCACGAACGGACTGTTCAGTAGACACGCACGCACGGACTGTTCAGTAGACACGCACGAACGGACTGTTCAGTAGACACGCACGGACGGACTGTTCAGTAGAAACCCACGGACTGTTCAGTAGACACGCACGAACGGACTGTTCAGTAGACACGCACAAACGGGTAGACACGCACGAACGGACTGTTCAGTAGACACGCACGAACGGACTGTTCAGTAGACACGCACGAACGGACTGTTCAGTAGACACGCACGGACTGTTCAGTAGAGACTCACAAACGGACTGTTCAGTAGACACGCACGGACAGACTGTTCAGTAGAAACCCACGGACTGTTCAGTAGAAACGCACGGACGGACTGTTCAGTAGAAACGCACGGACGGACTGTTCAGTAGACACGCACGGACGGACTGTTCAGTAGACACGCACAAACGGACTGTTCAGTAGACACGCACGAACGGACTGTTCAGTAGACACGCACGGACTGTTCAGTAGAGACTCACAAACGGACTGTTCAGTAGACACGCACGGACAGACTGTTCAGTAGAAACCCACGGACTGTTCAGTAGAAACGCACGGACGGACTGTTCAGTAGACACGCACGGACGGACTGTTCAGTAGACACGCACGGACTGTTCAGTAGAAACCCACGGACGGACTGTTCAGTAGAAACGCACGGACGGACTGTTCAGTAGACACGCACGGACGGACTGTTCAGTAGACACGCACGGACTGTTCAGTAGAAACGCACGGACGGACTGTTCAGTAGACACGCACGAACGGACTGTTCAGTAGACACGCACGAACGGACTGTTCAGTAGACACGCACGGACGGACTGTTCAGTAGACACGCACGGACGGACTGTTCAGTAGAAACCCACGGACTGTTCAGTAGAAACCCACGGACTGTTCAGTAGAAACGCACGGACGGACTGTTCAGTAGACACGCACGAACGGACTGTTCAGTAGACACGCACGAACGGACTGTTCAGTAGACACGCACGGACTGTTCAGTAGACACGCACGGACTGTTCAGTAGAAACCCACGGACTGTTCAGTAGAAACGCACGGACGGACTGTTCAGTAGACACGCACGGACGGACTGTTCAGTAGACACGCACGGACGGACTGTTCAGTAGACACGCACGGACTGTTCAGTAGAAACCCACGGACTGTTCAGTAGAAACGCACGGACTGTTCAGTAGAAACCCACGGACTGTTCAGTAGAAACGCACGGACGGACTGTTCAGTAGAAACGCACGGACGGACTGTTCAGTAGACACGCACGGACGGACTGTTCAGTAGACACGCACGGACGGACTGTTCAGTAGACACGCACGGACGGACTGTTCAGTAGACACGCACGGACTGTTCAGTAGAAACCCACGGACTGTTCAGTAGAAACGCACGGACTGTTCAGTAGAAACGCACGGACGGACTGTTCAGTAGACACGCACGGACGGACTGTTCAGTAGACACGCACGGACGGACTGTTCAGTAGACACGCACGGACTGTTCAGTAGAAACCCACGGACTGTTCAGTAGAAACGCACGGACTGTTCAGTAGAAACCCACGGACTGTTCAGTAGAACAGCACGGCACGGTGGCTGAGTGGATAGCACTCTCGCCTCTCAGCGAGAAGGTCCTGGGTTCAAATCCCGGTTGGACCAGGGCCTTTCTGAGTGGAGTTTGCATGTTCTCCCCGTGTCTGCGTAGGTTTCCTCCGGGTGCTCCGGTTTCCCCTACCACTAAAAATATGTACAATAGGTCTGGCATGTGCCTCCTGTACTGGCCCCACTCCCAAAAAATAACAATTGTAAACCGCTTTGAGACTCCGATGTGCAGTGAAAAGGCGGTATATAAATAAAGATTACTTACTTACTTACTAGAAACGCACGGACGGACTGTTCAGTAGACACGCACGGACGGACTGTTCAGTAGACACGCACGGACGGACTGTTCAGTAGACACGCACGGACGGACTGTTCAGTAGACACGCACGGACTGTTCAGTAGACACGCACGGACTGTTCAGTAGAAACCCACGGACTGTTCAGTAGAAACCCACGGACTGTTCAGTAGAAACGCACGGACGGACTGTTCAGTAGAAACGCACGGACGGACTGTTCAGTAGACACGCACCCACGGACTGTTCAGTAGAAACGCACGGACGGACTGTTCAGTAGAAACGCACGAACGGACTGTTCAGTAGGCACGGACGGACTGTTCAGTAGACACGCACGGACTGTTCAGTAGACACGCACGGACTGTTCAGTAGACACGCACGGACTGTTCAGTAGAGACGCACGGACTGTTCAGTAGAGACGCACGGACTGTTCAGTAGACATGCACGGACTGTTCAGTAGACATGCACGGACTTGGCGGGAAAGTCAAAGGGGAGGAGCAGGAGCGAAAAATGGACGCCCACAGGAGATGGATTCTGCTCATCCTTTCCTTGGGACGTTTGTGCGACAACAATTCAGAGAGCAGCAAAGTGGTCACGGGGACATTAGCGGACTGAGCGAGCAGACTGAACATACTGTAAACAGCCAAAACAGGACCCACACCAGACTTCACCAGAACTCAAACCAGGGCGGACAATGGGGGACTCTGTGCTTGTGAAAATATGGGTTGTCATGCTCCTGTGACCTTATGCACCTGCTTCGAGTGTGTTCACCTCCGTGAACACATACTGCTGTTATATAAAGTCACCTCCGTGAACACATACTGCTGTTGTATGAAGTCCGTGAACACATACTGCTGTTGTATAAAGCCTGTGGAAGGTCTCTGTTCAGCTGCATATTGGAGAAGATCTGTACGCAAGAGGCCGCTAGCTAAACTCTGTTAGCATCATAGCCTGCAGGCTATTTCCGGTGCTTGTCAGGACATCTCGGTGTGAAGACCCCTGCGTCTGAAAACTAGAAAATGCGCGTCTGGTGAGCGGGCCTTCAGCGTTTCGGCGTTGGCGGTCTGAAAGCACCATAAGACTGCAGCAGGGGAAGACTAAATGACTGTGTTGGTCTTGTTGTGGAAGCTGATTTTGTATTTAGCAACAACAACCTAGCACGAGCCAATCGGTCTTGAGTCTGCTCGGGACGAAGGCGGGGACGGAAGCCGCCTATTAGAGATCCTATCTGGATTCATAAAGATGTTGTCAAAATACAGACTCCAGGATCATACAAAGCAGATGTTTAAGCCCAAAGTGGGAGAACGGTCTATATACAGTCTATGCTTTTATTTGTGTCTTTCTGTGTAGAGTTGAAATGTTTCCCCAACACCAAACCGCTGGCTCCTGAGAGAATCTAATTCCTCTACATGGACATTAAAGGCTAATCACTGTTCTATATATATATAATGCTGGACCATAGCTGTCACCCCATGCAGGGCACTCTTGGCTCTGCACAGCAGTTTCAGGTCTTTTCTTCCCGCTATTGTCAGACTGTACAATGAGAACTGCTGAGCCTGTACATGTGCCATTACCCTGTTCAGATAATCCACTTGTCACTTTACCTTCTGCTATTACTATCATCGTTTATTCAGTTTTATTTTATCATCTTAACAGCTCTATTATCTTGATAATAATAATCATAATAATAATATTATATTATTATTATTAATAATAGACCCTGTTTGATGTGTGCAACCTCAGTGTCCTCCTTTTTTATTCTGCTGTAATGTGGAACACTGAGATATAACTTTCCCCACTGTGGGAGGAAAAAATGCTTATATTGTTTTAAGAGGTTATATCTAAATCAAATGACTTATTTGAAATTGTATAATTGTATGTCATTGAATTTCCTTTTGACACAACCTATAAAACACCAACTTAATTTTCTCATTAAAAAAATAATTCCAAGTGTCATTTTTCAGAGAGCTGTTGGCATAAAACACTCACCGTCTCTAACTGCAGTCGCTCACTAATAATGATGCAGTTGTTTGTCCTGCAGGTGGCGCTCCAAACTACTATCCCAACAGCTTCAGTGCTCCAGACGTCCAGCCGCAGTGTGTGGAGTCCAAATTCAATGTTTCTGCGGATGTGGGTCGATACAACAGCTCCGATGATGATAACGTGACGCAGGTAATTGGGAAAAAAAAAAATATATATAATACATTTATATTTCATACACAGCTGAATCAATGAGCTCGAGCTTTCAATTAAAGTACGGATTTTAATACAACCTGTATTTAGTAATACACATTTTTATGAACTCATTAGAAAACAAATCTGGTATGGCTTCTTAAATGTGTGCATAGACAGAGAATGTTCCTGTGTGTGTGGTCTGCTGCGCTGGGTACATTATGACCATGTTACGGCTTCGCGCTCACTGCTGGAGCCGGGAGCTCTGTTATTACAAAGCAGCCACAGTTGCTCCACGGTCAGAGCACTGCAGGAGGATGTGGAATCTCGTTCGAGTATGTTCAGAAAACGGCACGTGTCCACGATCACGTGCTCTAATATTTGAGATGGATGGGTCTGTGTGAAGTACGCAAAGGTGCTTACTAACTGATGGGGCCTTAAGTGGACCTTTTCAGTGTCCTAGTGTGTAATATATTAGGGCTGTCAAACAATTAACTATCATTAACATTTTGAATGATGCTATATGGTTGTTTGAATGGGAAGATAAATGACAGTGTACATTATGTACTGTATTTGTTTATTATAACAACAATAAATCCACATAAAATGGCATTAATATTATTAATAATCTGTCTTTCTGTAATAGACAGTGTTTTTTTCAGCGTGGCATATCCCGCTTCAGCTGAAGACTCTTTTTCTCTGTCTCATAAAGGCTGTTGAACCTATTATTGTGCCTCTACAAACTTTTTTACAGGGACATTTAAAAAAAGGTCTGAAATGTATGATATCAGGCAATGGCTGTCATTAAATCTGTTTGATTTGATCACATTTTACTTTTTGACACAACCAACATGACCTCTTTTCAAACTGGAGCTTGAGCGTGAAATGTGTAAACAGTTTTAAATGTGAACAATTTTCTGCAGGTCCGTACTTTCTACACCGAGGTCCTGAACGAGGAGGAGCGGCAGAGACTGTGTCGAAACATGGCCGGGGCTTTGAAGGACGCACAACTGTTCATCCAGAAACGATACGTACGTGAAGTCATCACTGAGGCCGTAATCTGTACAGGAAATGACATCTTAATTACTACACTATATCCAGTTTTTCTCATTTGCGAGGGGACAACAGTTTTGTAAGCTCTGGGTGACGGCATGTTGTTGGGATTTGTGGAGCTACAAAAAGACATTCATATATTGCATAAAAAAAACAAACTCACTTGTGCCGATGATGCTGAAAATGAACTTAGAAACTGTAAACGTTGAGCCGATCCATGGAAACTGTCTCTAAATCATACTGAATTTAAATTATTCATATTTCTTATGTTAAATCTCTTGAAATCAAGTTGCTGCTTCCCTCTAAATGTTTGTTTTACATTATTAGCAGGATTACTATTTTAACATGAGGAGGGTAAAACTAACCTGTCTGACGACGGTCTAAACCAGCTCACGTTTCTTATTGGTGCATGAACAAACGCTTTGATTCTGCTTCACGATTACAGGAAGAGCTGTAGACTTCAAAGTTTATTTTATTTGCCACAGAAATTAACCACTGGAACCTTGGAGTCGTCTGGTGATTTGTGACGAAGCAATAGTGCAGTTTTTTGGTGAGGTTAATGGAAAGGCAAGTTTATTTGTATAGCACAATTCATACACAAGGCAACTCAAAGTGCTGAACAAAATAAGATTAGATTAAAATCATAAAAAAATCACAGTACATTAAAAAGAAAGATAAAACATTTATATCTTTCAAATGTGGATTTTAGCAACTTAAAAGGAGACTTACTATGATCCTGTTTGGTATACAGAGATAATCAATTACTAAGACTTGTTTTTATATTTAAACAAATATAGAGATTTCAAATGTACTGTGTCAGCCGTCAGTACAAAGGTGGTGTTCATATCCACGCTCCACAAAGGTGGTGTTCATATCCACGCTCCACAAAGGTGGTGCTCATATCCACGCTCCACAAAGGTGGTGTTCATATCCACGCTCCACAAAGGTGGTGTTCATATCCACGCTCCACAGAGGTGGTGTTCTTAGCCACGCTCCACAGAGGTGGTGTTCTTAGCCACGCTCCACAGAGGTGGTGTTCTTAGCCACGCTCCACAGAGGTGGTGTTCTTAGCCACGCTCCACAGAGGTGGTGTTCTTAGCCACGCTCCACAGAGGTGGTGTTCATATCCACGCAGCACAAAGGTGGTGTTCATATCCACGCAGCACAAAGGTGGTGTTCATATCCACGCAGCACAAAGGTGGTGTTCATATCCACGCAGCACAAAGGTGGTGTTCATATCCACGCTCCACACAGGTGGTGTTCTTAGCCACGCTCCACACAGGTGGTGTTCTTAGCCACGCTCCACAGAGGTGGTGTTCTTAGCCACGCTGTTCCTTTTTTGAACTTTGAGATTGTGAAAGTATTATGTTCTTATTACTTTAGGTTACTCGCTGAGGACAGAGTAGTTTCCCTGACTTTTAAGACCAGACATTTTGGCTCATGTGTTCATTAAGCTACACTCTAATTGATTACAATATTATCAATCAATAATTATATTTCTAAAAGTATTTAAACTAGTCTCTTAACTGTAGGTGGAGACGCTCAGAGCTGTCCATCCAGACTACGCCAACAGAGTCCAGTCCCATCTCAACACTTTCAACAAGGAGCCAAAAAAGGTTTGTTTTAAAAACTGACACGTGGCTCGTTATCACTTATTGCTTTATTATGAACTCACACAAATAAATATGGAGTGTATTTGGACTAATGGTCATTACCCTCGTTCTCAGTTTGGTTCTTCCATGTTTCAGACCAACACCGTTCACGTGTACAGCCGTCCTGGGGCTGTTGCTGCCTCCTCAAAGATGTGAAGACTTCTTCCTTAACCACAGTACAATGCTCTGCTGCTAAACTAAACTCATATTGAATCCTTTTAGCAAAGCACTTCATATTTACTGATTACGCTGCTTAATGCTGTGACCGCTGTTGTCGTCTTTGTGGTTCTTCAGTCATTGTTTAGAAACGAGAACATTTGTGTAATTTGATTGATGGCAAAAAGTTCAATGCGATCAATTTCTTTTCCCAAATGTGTGTTTGGCGTCGTTTGTGTGAAGCCATTTCTTTTTCAAGCAATAATGTCAACAGAAATTCCTCTTAACCCTCACACTGACGAGAAGTTCCCCTGGTTCTCAGGGTAAAGCTTTGCCTTTTAATGAACTGCTCATTTGAGATCATATGTTGATGTAATATTAAAAATAAAATAAAGTTTTTTTGGACAATATGAACCTTCAGACAACCACAAATCGTTATTTCATTAATTATCTTAAATATATCCAAACCAATTGTATATTTTACTCAACTATAATGTACTCAATTGGTAAAGTGATATTAATATATTCTAAAAAGGTAAAGAACTACTGGACTTATTGAAAATGGAAGGTGGTGTGCAGAAGGGATGTGATATTAGGAACCCTCATTAACATTTTGAAATGATCCGTGAAAATGTGTCTGAAGTTATGTTCCCTTTAACTGAAGTTATGTTCCCTTTAACTGAAGTTATGTTCCCTTTAACTGAAGTTATGTTCCCTTTAACTGAAGTTATGTTCCCTTTAACTGAAGTTATGTTCCCTTTAACTGAAGTTATGTTCCCTTTAACTGAAGTTATGTTCCCTTTAACTGAAGTTATGTTCCCTTAAACTGAAGTTATGTTCCCTTAAACTAAGGTAACTTCAGTTAAAGGGAACATAACTTCAGTTAAACTGAAGTATTTTGTGAAGAGGCTTCAGGATCCGCAGTTTCTGAAGTAAATCTAAAACTAGTGGTCATAGTGTCATGTACTGCCAAAAGGGACAAAAAATAAGTCACATTTTGCCATATTTGGCAAAATGTATTTTAATTTGAGTACTACTTTATCACTGCTTTTAAACAAGTAATGGGACTATAACTTATACATATAAGATATGCAATCCTAGATTTCATTTATTCTAATCTTTAATTTTAAACGGTAAATAAAGCCCTGTTCGGACACGACTAGTGTGACCCGTGGACCTCTGGGTGATAATCCCGGAGGACGTCTGAAATCTGGGTCCCGTGCGAAGGTTCCACGTCTAATTTGTAAAGTAATAATTCTGACCTCCTGTATTTGTCCAAACACAGACTGTGATGAATCTGCATGTCAGTGAATCTGCATGTCAGTGAATCTGCATGTCAGTGAATCTGCATGTCAGTGAATCTGCATGTCAGTGAATCTGCATGTCAGTGAATCTGCATGTCAGTGAATCTGCATGTCAGTGAATCTGCATGTCAGTGAATCTGCATGTCAGTGATTGTGACGTCAGTGATTGTGACGTCAGTGATTGTGACGTCAGTGATTGTGACTAGGGTTGGGCGATATGGGCCTCAGCATGTATCACGATTTTTGTTAGTATGTATCACGATATGACGATATGATAATTTCAACAAAGCCTTATATAAAAGCTATAAAAACTTAACACTGATAATAAAAAAAAACACTTGCCTCAAATTGTAAAGTGCATTTACTGTTTTATTGGCAGAAAAATGTGCAATACAGCTAGTGCATTTTGTATTTGTAAAACTTATTAACAAAACTGAAAGAATTCTGTAGAGAAAACTGAAAATTGCAGGCATCATGTAACAAAGCTGAACATTTGAACATTCTCAAATAACTGAACTCAACATGAGATTTGACTTTCACATCAAGGCAACTATGGTTGGGTTTTCAGATTTTTGGTCAAGAACACCAACATATTAACTGTGCTGGGTTTCAGTAGTGTTCTTTGGCATGTCACCACGTTGCCACTAGAACTAAACACTCTCTCGGACGGTGTACTTGTTGCAGGAATGCACAAATACTTCTTTGCCAAACGACTAACAAAGGGAAAATTAACTTGATGTAACTTCCACCATGTCAGAGGATTGGACTCACCATCCACCAGTTGGCCTTGCAAATAGCTGTCTAACTCTACAACCAATTTTTCTCTATCAGAAAGACGGCCCATGTCTGACTTTGTAGCAGCATGTGGTTTCTTGAAAAAGCTCCCAAGGCTTTTTCTTTGCTTTTTTGTGTACACTATTTTCCTTTTCTGATGATTCAGGGATAGTAGAGCTGGTGTGACTTGGTGATGTAGCAGCAGATAAAGATTCCAGTTCTGTGACTGCTCTGCATTTGAAGGCCTGGATTTCTGTTTGACTCAAATACTGAAGGCGAAAACGTGGGTCAAGAACTGTTGCCATGTTGATCAGGTCTTGAACCTCTGATCCACTGTACTTTTTGTTCAGGTATGCAGTTATTGAACCTTTAATTGTCTGTGTGAGTTCTGAATCACCCTCTTTCCTTATCAGTAGCTCACTGTTGAAGAGATGAAGAGTAGGCTTCAAGCAGGATACAGTCACATAATTCTCAGATGATAAAGCGTCAGTGAAGTCCATAAGCGGTCCCAGTGCTTTACAGACAGAGTCCAAAACATCTAGATCCTGCCATGAAGGCACCAGATGCCTGGTGGACCGGTCAGCTGCAAGGACTTTGGTGATGGCTTTCTCTTGCTCAAGCAGCCGTTGAATCATCCTTTGCCTCGATCCCCACCGTGTTACCGATTCTGTAACTAACTTGTGCTGGGGAAGGCCTAGTTCATCTTGTGCTTTCCTGAGTGCTTGCTGTCTTTTCCAGCTATGGGAGAATCCTCCAATAATCTTCCGACAAGTTCCCACTGCTTTGTCTATCCTGGTGTCCTTCATGCTCGTCTCTGGAAAACAAAATGAAAATGAATGCAAATATAGTTTCTATTGTGTTAATAGATCCAATTAATTGCATTAGATTTATTTAGCTACATCTTATTTATAATATCATATAAACTGTAAACTATATTAAAGTTGGTCCTTTGTAATATAAAAAGTGTAGCATTATCAAATAATTATTTGATCACTTTGGCTTATGTTTTCTAATCCCAATATAGTCAAAATGATCAAATACTGCATTAAATATGCTGTATTTATTTTTGTATTCTTTATGCGTTTCTATAATTATGTAATTATAACTTATTTGTAATTATATTGCATTGAAGACAAACACATGCATTGAAGTAAAATTAATGACAGTAAACAGTAAAGACAGCTTACCAATGGCACTGTGCAGAGCGTGTCCGAAGCAAGCCAGTCGAGTCCAGTCGTTTAGGGCAGCTGCTTTCACAACATTGGATCCACTGTCTGTAGTCACGCACACTTGCTTCTTTTCATCTAGTTCCCATTCCTGGAGAAACTCTTTCAACGCACTTGCTATATTTTCACCCGTATGTTCTTCAGGGAAAAAACTTGTCTGGAGGCAGGATGATTTTAAAGTCCAGTCACCGGTGATGTAGTGGACGGTGAGACTAATGTATGGTTCAGTCGCACGGCTACTCCACATGTCTGTGGTGGAGGCAAAAAACTCCACTGGAGTAATTTCTGTCCTGAGTTTTTCACGGCAGTCGTTGTACATCGCTGGTAACGCCGTTTTTGAAAAATACTTCCGTGAAGGCATCTTGTACCTTGGATCAAATTTACGGAGGAGGTAATTAAATCCCTCCTTTTCCACGGAGTATAAAGGCATCATATCCTTAGCTAAATAATATGACACTGCATCAGTCAGTTCATGCCATCGCTTGCCTTTTGTATCGTAAGGAGTGCCATGTGCAAATGCGCTGTGAATTTTAGATTGAGTGAGTTTTGATGTCGATGTCGATGTATCATCTCGCTTCTTCATACACTCTTCGTACTCCACTCTGTGCTTTCGCTTGAGATGATGGAACAAATTCGTTGTGTTTCCACCTTTGGCCACCACAACACATTTGCAGACTTTGCACAATACTGTCGCTTGCTCAACGTCTGCTTTACTGAACCCAAACCACTACCATATGTTGGAGGTAGCTCCCCGTTTTGGCACAATGTCTTCAAAAATCTCCGTGTCTTCACTGCCGCCCTCTGCCATGTTTGTTCTCTGCTCTGTTGTTGCTGTCTCTCTGCGCGCCGCTCTGCTACACGTGTGCCGCAGATGCGTCATCAAAGTGCGCCGCAAACGAAAGTGTCCTCTGCTCGCAGTTTACAGTGTTAAAAGATTGTTTTCACCGGTATAAGGCCTTTTCTTATCATTTGATTTAGTTATACCGGTATACCGGTACATAAAAAATATCGCCCAACCCTAATTGTGACGTCAGTGATTGTGACGTCAGTGATTGTGACGTCAGTGATTGTGACGTCAGTGATTGTGACGTCAGTGATTGTGACGTCAGTGTTTGTGACGTCAGTGATTGTGACGTCAGTGATTGTGACGTCAGTGATTGTGACGTCAGTGTTTGTGACGTCAGTGTTTGTGACGTCAGTGATTGTGACGTCAGTGATTGTGACGTCAGTGATTGTGACGTCAGTGATTGTGACGTCAGTGATTGTGACGTCAGTGATTGTGACGTCAGTGATTGTGACGTCAGTGTTTGTGACGTCAGTGATTGTGACGTCAGTGATTGTGACGTCAGTGTTTGTGACGTCAGTGATTGTGACGTCAGTGATTGTGACGTCAGTGATTGTGACGTCAGTGATTGTGACGTCAGTGATTGTGACGTCAGTGTTTGTGACGTCAGTGATTGTGACGTCAGTGATTGTGACGTCAGTGATTGTGACGTCAGTGATTGTGACGTCAGTGATTGTGACGTCAGTGATTGTGACGTCAGTGTTCCGCTTTTGCTTTGTTTTTTACCAATGAGAAGAGTCGTGCATTGCGGCCGTGAACACTACTAGCTGAGTAGCGGCTGTTTCTGTAGAGGACAGGTATGTGTTCACTGACACATAATGATCAAACCGATGGGTTGCCTTTTTACGTTTCCTTTGCACTTTGTGGTAATAGAGTAGACGTGTTGATGCAGCCGTTACTCTAACATGCGCACAAACAAACAAGCAGTATCTGCTGCGTTCATGGGTAGTCCGTACACATAGTATTGTTGAACAGCACAGACAGTACAGGCCAGAGAACTGTAGAGCAGTAAAATCCACATGTGTGTGTTTGTCCTCATGGTCTCTATGGGCTGAGACCGGCGCACGTTCAGCCGTTATGTGAGATGTCAGTGAAAAGTACAGAAATCGCTGATCCCGTGTGAATGAACCGCACAATCTCCGACGTTCTCTGCATTTATCACAAATTACCGGAGGTCCACAGGTCATACTAATCCCGTCCGAATAGGGCTTAATAGTCATTGACAAAACTCTTTCAGACCTGAGCTTGTTTTAATATTTACACGCCACATAAATAATAAACATTGATCAGTTTGTGCTGTATGTATAAAATTCTACTTCTGTCCTTATTGTAACCATGTTTTCTACTGAAAATTAGATGTTTATTTAGTGCCTTTATCTAATCATTTATAATAAAAGGCTTTCCACTCATTCTGTTTTTTTCTTTCTAAGTTGACTTTCTTGAGATTCATTGTTCAGTGTCAGAGGTCCTCCATTAAAAAATGAAATATATTTATGTGAGATTTCATAACACTTTTAAGCAACTATTGTTAAAGTTAAACTCATCATTCTATCAATGTGCAGAAGCCTGTGCTTTTCCACTTCATGTTTTGACTATCTCTGCTGGCACTGTGGCAGCTGCTGATTGGAGGTCTCCATGCCTCCGCTCTGTATAATACACTTGCATTCTGTTGTATCTGTGTTCGTGTGCTTTGTTCGTGCTGTCTCTACCATTGACAATAAAACATGTCTTCTGTCTGAATTTAAGACGCGATCCCAGACTTGGCTCATTATCTTCAGGTGGTCAAAGGATGCGGGCATTGTCTGTAACATCTATAGAAGACTTTTTTTTTTTTTTACACACAAATGTGGGTTTTTTTTTTTTTACACAAAACACACAAAAAAAGAAACCTCAAGAGAAACCATGCATCTGGATCAGCAGCAGTGGCGGCTGGTGGAATTTTCTACTGGGGGGGCTATGAATATGATGACTAGATATAAATGCACCACAGAATTTGACACAGTCTATTATTTTTGATAGGATGTGCCTATTCTTGTCAACCTCCTCATTGTGCTTTCTGATCCCTACCCTGTAGCTTTCATCCAGCTGGGATGAAATATTTATCTTCCCAAACATAGCTAATTTGAGGGCATTTTGCATGTGGATACCAGTCTGCTCATGCTTCTTTGCCTTTTCTAAAAAGTGCTTCAGATCAGTCATACCTGTCTTGATCCATGCTGGGTCAGATCCTGATGTTTGAAACAAGAGGCATGGAAAGCAAAATAAAGCATTAGCCTCGCTACATGCTGCTAGCCAAGATTTGGCGCTGAACCAGGTCCTGGAAAAAGTACGAGTGTACCGTCTCCCCCTGTCGCTGGACTGCTGACTAATGGTAATATTTGGCTGATCAGGTCCAAGCTCTTTAACCTCAACCTTCTCCTGGTATGATCTTCTCTCAAACGGTATTGTTTTGAGTGATCTAACTGAATTAATCTTTTTTTCGTTCTCCATGTTGCGTCTCTTTACGTTCGTCTCAAACTCCCACAGCTTGACCTGTCAATCAATGTAAACGGACGTCACAGACAGTGACAGTACAGGTCGCGGGCGATCCCGCCCCCTCAGGGCGCAGTTCTCCTGCGCCCCCAAATCATCTTATCTCTTGCATTGAAGAGGAGCTACTGCACATGTACAACTTTTAACGAGAGTCCATAGATGGCTCAGGGCGCAATCTTTTGCGCCCTGAGGCGGAAATACGTCCTCAGTCCGACACAGACAGCGCTGATGAGCTTAATCAATCCAACTCAGCATAAACTATAAAGTATTTCTTCCACATCTGAAATAAAACACACATACATTTCGAAATATTTTAATGTTATTCTTTTTTTTAACGTTTTATTCAAGGTAACATGGCAAGTTGTGAGTGGTGGGGCGGCGCCCTAGCGCCCTCTATTGGCCGGCCGCCACTGATCAGCAGACTTGGACAATCTGCACAGCCCCTGATTCCAGTCAGGCTGTGAGCTGCTGATACATGGACAACACCATCGTCCTCTTTTGCATGGACATCATTTGGAACAATTGGATTACACAATTTGGACATGATTTGGACTGAATTGGATTTCTGAATCTGGACACTAAAGCTGTGATTGAAAGACACGTCACAGAAGAATTCATGGCTTGACACAAATGCAGCCTGAATAAACCAACACGGAGAAGTGGGAGAGACTGTTTTCAAAGCAATATCTGGAACCATCGACTGATGAAGTTTGGAGCATGTTTTATGAACGATCTGAACATGTTTTATGAGTTTTTGAAGTATTGAGTTATGATGTTATGTTGGGTTGACATTGGCTGATTCTCTTCAAATACTCTAACCCTAACCCCACACATTTACATATAGATACATGAAAAAGCAGAACATGAGAAAAAAAGCATTTTAAAAGTTTACTCCAATGTAAACAAATATTTTTAATTGTCTATTATTTGAGTCTTTATTTGAATCAGTTTTTTTAGACCAGAAATGTTCATTTGAATTCTATATTGTCATGGACTTAATTGGCCTGTCTTGACATTTTTTGTTTTGATTTGTTGATTTTGTACTGTGTGAAGTAATTACATTGATTAGATCTGATAAAAACACAAATTAGAGAAGTAAACTGAATCATTGCGCTTGCTTTTGTCTTAGGGACATAAGCAACAGCATGGATAGAAATTGTCTTTAAAGTAAAATCAAAGTGACTTAACCATACACAGTGCCTAACTCCACAAAAAGTCTGTACATGAGCTGTGAGGCTGTAACACCATGACCAGATGTCCAACTGGAGTGACCAGAGCAACCCAAGTACCTGATGTGCATCTGGAGAAACCAAACCATGGCTTGGACCCTACTGATGTCCAAGATGACATCTCTCAAAATATGACCTGACCTGATGACGACTGAGACTCACCCTCAGGGGACCCTGAGGACCTGAGGACCCTGAGGACCTGAGGACCCTGAGGACCCTGAGGACCTGAGGACCTGAGGACCCTGAGGACCTGAGAGAGAAAACTGGGGAGTGATGTTTATATTTTTGAAATCATGCCATTGATGAGTGCTAAATGAGAGAGATACTCATGATTCTTTCTTTTGTTTTTGTTTGTCCCTAGCTTCTGGACATCTGATGATCTATTGGACACAGACATTTGCAGAACAAGAACCAGCCAATGAAAACGTCTATTGCTGATGCTATTGCTACAACCAGAACCACAACTGTGACCAAATGCAATACATGGAAAGTATTCAGACATCTGACAGACAAAAACTTTGACTTTTTAGTCTGGGAGACTGAGCAACTGTTAAAATGTTTTAAAATGATAAAGTATGAGTATTGTAGCGTTTTAGTAGATGTTAAATAGTAGTAAAAAAGTAGAATTTGATTTCTTTTGTTTTTCATAAACACATTATTAAACTATACAATGTTATCCTTCTGACAGAGCAGCTAAAATATTAGAATCAGAATTATGTTACAGCCATTAAAAGTGACAGAAGTCACAAACTAGAAATATGCCTTTGCTCAAGCTTCAGCCGAGCTTTGGAGCCACAATAGAGTAGAAATAGAAATAGATAAAAGCATCAACCATAAAATAGAAAATATTTCTAGCCATTGCTAATATTTGAATTGCAAAAGGACCATTTCCTTCAAAATAGATTCACAAACCTTTACTTCAGAAGTAGATAAAGTTACTTACAGTTTTATGTACAGTTTTATTAGATACTTGCCAAATTCACTTCTGTTCAAACATCTGTGAATGTTGGAAATACAAAAGTTCATGAGTGTAGTTTAGATTAATGTAGTTTAGATTAAGGAGCTAGATTAGAACCAACAGAGATTCAAAAGCATTTAAAAGCATTTTGATGCATTTGGGTATAGCCCAAAAACAAAATAGTAGATATTTGTATATAGAGAAGTTTAAAAGTTGTCGATTTGCCAGCACAGATTAGAGAATCAAACACCATTGTAGAATAACTGACCCCAAACCTGCTAAAACAGATTAGCTCCTGTAAGGATAATAATAATTTGATTAATGATGTACATTCATCCCAAACTGCCTGAGAGGAGGAAGTGACAGCACTTCCTGGTTCAACAAATGTATTTGGAAAACTGACCGCCATAATAATGTTCATATTAACCATTTGTCTTTCTGTGTTCAGTTTTATTCCTGAGAATGTAGAATAGGCATAGAGCAAAATCCCACTGATAATAAGCCACTGATAATGAAAGTAAACCACAGAGAGATTTATTAGATTAAAATATATGTTTAAGAATATGGCTCAATAAAAATATGCAAACATATTTGTAAATAGATTAGAATAGTTTTAAACTATAGTGAATAGTAAAAGTAAAGTACACAGTCTAAGATTAAAAAGTGATAATAATAAAGTGAAATAAGTGAAGTGTAAACAATTATCATTAGAATAAAAGTATAGAGTAATGAAAGTGAAATTAGCTTCGTTTTTGTCTGTGTTTTGACTGAATCTGCTGAGTTCTACTGTGTCCAATATGGGTTTGTTTGTTTTTATTTTTGTTTATTTATTTATTTTTCCCAGGATAGAGGATAAAATCCACTGATATTGATTTTGATGATTATGAGTTTAATGCATACATTTTCTTTGTTTTTTTTAAGTTTTTTTTCTCACTTTATTGATTGATCAAATTGAGTGATCACATGTGATTATGTGATCAAAGGGGTGAATGTTAGTATTAGATAGCAATATG